GCAGCTTGATTTTTCTAAAGTGTCGGCAGCCTCTGCAAGATGCGTGTTATACCTGTCCTTTCCCACCATGAATCCCAACCCATCTGACAGCCAAACTTCATCAAATGGCTTCATGGGATGCAGGTGTTCAGCTTTGAAATTTCCATCCATAACAAATGACCGGGTGTATTTCCACCTTGGAGTTGTTATTATCGCTGAGGTGACTTCGGTATCGAGGAAGACTCACTCATCAAGTGATTCATCCCCTGAGAAGGACACATTAATCCCAGGCTGAGGACATGCCGGGCAAAATAATGCGAGATCTCCTGCATTCGGGCTGTCGGAACAATGGCCGAAGCCATGCCATTTCATCGTCTTCAACTGCCTCCACTGTCGGGCGACTCTCATGAGCTCTCGGTATCGGTCCTTGCCCCATGCCTTGTCAATATAATGTCCTTTAGATGAGAGAGACATGGCATTACCGGTACAAGGTGTGGAAACATCCTCGAGGTCATTCGCCGGAGCTTGCTGTAATAGTTCATCGCCGAGGTCCCACATTCAAGGTTGTCCATAGAAAATCATCGAGAACCCTGAAGGTGAATAAAGTCTTCGGCTTGTTAAATGAAGCGGGGAAAAATCCATGTCGAAACATTTGAAGGTCTGGACTCATGGCATTTGGACAATCGCAGCATCGAACCCGGAGGCGATGAACTCCGGACTTGTCAATGATGACCATGGTGTTTTCCTTCGGCTGGAACTCGGGTCCCGACACAGATGGTAGATCTTCAGGCTCAAGCTGGTCTTCCGGTTCGTCTTCTTCGAACAAGTCCCACCTATCCGTAAGTACCGGACATTGTTTGCCCTCATGACCGAGGTGTATGACGAGTCCGACGTGAGCGAGACAACTTTGCTCAAAGAATTGACCATTCCATTGACTGATCCAATGGAAGGGATTGCAAAGATGTTGACTTCTGCAACAGCCAGTGCAATAGAGTGGCTCCCCAAGACAATCTTGACATTTGTAGACCCCATCCTGGTCGCAGACGACGCATCTCCTATCTTCTGGTGGAGCTTCTCGATCCAGGAGGTGATGCAGATATGATTTCTGCCTTGGCAGCCATTGCCTGAGGTAGTCATTCTGACTCTGGATTTGTTATACTTAGCTATCATTTGAATTGCAATGCAACATTTTACATGAACTTGCCATGGTTTTTGGGAGTTGCAAAGGCTCAAATGAGCCTTGGTCTTGCTCGTAAGTATTGTCAGGAATGTCTTCCCAAAGAGGTGGTGCCTCAACAGGCCGAAGTGTTGGTGATTCTGGGGGAGAGCTAGGCATGGACCTGTATGCACGTCTTTTTGTGCTTGCAAGTGGGACCTTGACCCAAATTTTCCTACCTCTGCTTCCCCTTGCTTCTACCCTGTGGGATCTTTGCAGTGGGGTGCATCTACCTATCTTCATGTTATTTTCTAAGGCTGCAAGCAAAGCACGAGCTCAGGAATGCGAATAAATTGTTATTGCAATGTGATCTTATGCGGGCTTGATGCGTCATTACAAATTCATTTCCAATAATGGAATTGCGTCCACTATGGGTCGATTAACCAACTGTTAGGCTTTGCTCAAAGTTGAACTTGTCACCGTTATTACTTCCACCTTGCCATCCTCAGCCCTTTCTGCAATCTCATTCACAATGGCAAGATCAGGTCATTCCACTCAGTTGACTTCCACTTCTGGAAGACATAGGGCGCGTCAACCACAGACACAGAAGCTCACGGATAACGAAATTTCGGAGTTGAAGAACTACCTTCCTGAGTGGACTTCGGCGAAAAGGATTGAGAAGAGGGCAGTTTTCACTGCCATAGCTAGGGCTGCCAGGCTATTTGCTCCCAAGGTCGACCAAGCACAATGGAAGAAGAGGAAGCAGGTGATTCATCCTTGCTTCATTCAAAACTAAAATTTTAACATCTTATTCTTCCATGAACTCTCAGATGTACAAGACATGGTTGTTCAACAACCAGAAAAAGAAGGAGAGGAAGGACATGATAAAGTATGGGAGGAAATGGACTCCTAGGCAGGTGATCTACCAGCAGAAACGGGAGGAGGTGCTGAAGAGGATTGAGGACGAGTCCGGGGCAAAGCCAGGAGGTCCCGGTATGTTCAAGCATTATCAGGCGGCTGTAAAAAGAGTCATGGCTGAATTGTCCGATGATGAGTTGGAGAAGGCGAAAGACACGGCTGAAGAATGGTCCAGCAACTTTCCTCCTCCCGAGATACAAGCACAAGTGGCTCGTAAGAAGGGACCGGCGTATATGGAGCACTTTTCGAAGGAGATGTGGAGGCAATGCGGGATGAGAGTGTTTGTGATGTCGGCATGGAAGAATGAACAGGGAGAGGTGCTGTTCGGGATGTAGTCATTTTGTCATTGCAGATTGTCGCAGATCTTCGATCTCAATACATTTCATGCAGGCACGATGATAACGAGGCATTAGGAGATGGGAAAGTTTCATGAAGGACGAAGGACTGGGAGGACATCAAGCCAGTTTGGCAGGAGTACGCGCAGGAACAATTCGGTGAAGTGTTTGATCTCTGGCTACTGGAATGAATTAGTTGATCTTTGTCATGATAGGTGCTGGGGCACGAAGATGGTGGGCGACAGGTGAATGGAGGTCGAAAGAGAATCAGGAAGCCTGCTTTCGAACTCGAAAATTGATGGGATGGGATGCCGGTGCTTCCTGACATCACCGAGACGAAAACTCGAGGAGAAGAAAGCCATCATCAGAGCATTTCTCACATCGCACTATTGTGAGTCCGTCATCCGCAACACCCGAACATTTGTTGAATGCATTTATACAGGTATCTGTTCTGGGATTGTCAAGGCAGTTGTGCCATGGAGCGCCATCGTACAAAGTCAGGATGACTTTGTGGCAAGAACATCTTCCGGCGGATGTGGACTTGAAGGAGCCTTCGAAGTTGCAACATTGGGACATGACCGCCTTACTGAATTTCTGGTATGCTCGGCAGGAGAAAGGCAAAGGTCCAACATTCCTGGTCAAAGCATGGAGGAACAGAGATGGGGACATGGTAGCCTCGGTTGTATCCGGAAATTCACCTTCTCATCGGACTCGTAATGCCAGATGAGTATGATCCGAAGGCCTCGGAATTCATCGACCGAAACTGACAGTGATCCCGAGGCCAATCACGAGAGGGATCCAGAGAGCAATCCCGAGGACAACACTCATCACATGGAGGATGATGCTGATGATGACACAGAGGAAGGTAGATCCCCGCAAAAGAGACCCAGAACAGAGCCTGGTCCTTCGACAGGCACATGAAGGGACAGCGGTCCCACATGCAATTCCAAAGCCTCGCCTGGTCAATGCAGGAAGACTGGTGCACTGCTGACATGCGAATGGGGCGACCTCCTGACTGGGCTGACTGCGAGAGTCCACTCGCAATGTTCAGGAGGATGGTGCAACCGAACGAGTCAATAGGTCGCCGGCCGCCGAAGAACATGCGGGGAAGGAAAGCGGTGATTGAGCCATCGGCGAGGACAACCCGGAGTAAGTCAACACAGCAGCCATTGGACACAAGCACTCGAGTGACGAGAGCAAGGGGAAAGAAGTAATGGGCTGATACTACACTGCCTGCCATTACCTGCTTGTATTTACATGTCAATGTGTAACTTTCATATATCAGACCTAATATAATATGCAGAGTCCCCACTAGTGAATATCGATTATTGAGTCCCGACTATTGAGTCCCGACTATTGAGTCCCGACTATTGAGTCCAGACTATTGAGTCCCGACTATTGAGTCACAAACATTGAATCCCGACTATCGAACCTCGAGTCCCGAACCCCGAGATTCGTCAAAACACTGAGTCCCGACTATTGAGCGTCGAGTCACGAGCACCGAACATTGAGTCCCCGAAAATCGAGTCCCGAGTGTTGAGTCCCATTATCAAATCCCGACCATCGTGTATTGAGTCCCGTTCGACACCCAGGGACATGTATTGAAAAATTCGGTAGTGTACATGATGTGGGGATGTCAATGAAAATTCACATGTTGCAATGCAGTAATTTACATGGTCAGTTTGTTCTTCAAGTGTTCAATCATGGAATCTACTACCTTGAGCATTTCAATGCTCATCTGTTCAACTCTTTGCAACCTCTGCAGTCTGCATCAGCTTTTTTCAGTTTGTCAGATGTTTCTGCCCAAGCAGTTTGGAATGGACGCTTGGCCTCGATTAGTTGTTGGATGGAAGGTCAGGAAGACCTCCAGTACGGCGTTTGTAATCATGGAGTCGATCTTGGGACGGATTGGTCTTCCAGAAAGATTAGCTCAAAGGATAAATGCTCTGCTTTCAGATACTCACATTCTGGGTGTTGGTATTTTCCGAAAGGATGGAGCTCCCGGACCATCAACCGTACATCCTCAATATTGAGCTCCGGCTGGTCTCCAGGGAGTTCGGTAGATGATTTGTCGGCTTGGGAGATAAGATCAGTCTCCATAATGGTCTAGAATGAATGGACCCACATGAAATAGACACCTCTGAGGTAGCCGGAGCAAAAAGTGGGAGGATCAGCAGAGTCCAGCAACTCATCAACATCAATGACATCATCCTCAGGCCCAAGGTACAAGTCTGGATCAATGAGACAGCTGGCATCATCAGCTTGACCCGGATGTGATTGATCTTCAAGGGTGAAGTTAGCATGCATGGTGATCCCAGGTCATCAGTAATGTATAGTCATACTGGGTATTGCAGCTGACGCATCCGGGGGTCCGGATGACATAGAATCATATTCTATGTCATCATCCGGCCCGAGGTATAAGTCATCTAAGTCATCTAAGGGATACCCGGTGAATAGATAAGGCATGATAAGAATACAACATACCTAGTGATGCCCGGCCCATAGATAGTCATCCACATCCATAGAATTATAGTCGGTCACCAGTGGGGTCATTAAATCTAATGGCTGGATGGGCACTCATGTGTGGAGATTGGTGGACTGATTGACTGATGATCTAAAGTTTTGAAACTTCATCTTTCTGATAACTGATTTCAATCTGATTTCAAGATCTTTAAATCTCTCAACCCACTCATCATGTCCACTCCAGTTGACAACTCTTTGACCCATCTCAAGGCATCCACTGCCCAGATCATGGCCATCATCAGTGCCACCCGGCAGATTCCCCCGGGTCCCAGCCACTCGGCTTTGGGAAAACAGGTTGCTACACTTGTGGTATGTATTTTGTTTGGGTGCTTTTTCTTCTCTAACATCTTGGTAGTCTGATGTAGCCAAGGAGTATGGGTCCGGGGATGGTCCTATTCCCGGCCGCATCATTTCATGCTCCAAAGAGCTCCAGCGCATTCGGAACATGGTTCCCAAGGTCTGGCCAGACTGGCACTCCATCGGGTATGACGATCCTCGCATTCTTAGGCACACCTGGTACACCCCCAAGGTCCTCACCTGGAACGCCTTAGGCGACCAGACCTTCGATCTCCCAACTCTGTCCCCCCATCCACAGGTCCGATTCCTGTCAATCTTCCCTCCCCAGCCATCCCTGCCGGCAATGTCGCCGGCCCTTCCACCAACCCCACCACCGAGTCCCGGGACAAGGGGAAAGGTAAGGCTGTCTTCGCTGACCCAGACCCCGAGGCAGAAGGGAGTAAGAAGAGGAAGTCCCCCTTGATTTCTGGACTCTCCTCCCAACCCCCGAAATCTGCGATGAAGAGTCACAAGCGTCAGAGGTCTGCTTGCGTTGTGAAGTCCAAGGCCATCGTGGAGTCGGAAGATGATGAAGACTCGGTTATGCAGGTATGTCGTCTTGTTCATTTTTTCATTGTCTCTCATTTTCGTGTAGCCACCTTTGGGTGGAGTGCTGGAGGTCGTCCTTCCCCGGCTCTCCACAATTGTCGCAAGGACACCTGATTCGCCCTCGCTCGCCCCGGTACCCAAGAAGAAGCCCTTTGGCCCTGCCACAGTAAGTGTCATTTATGTGTCCGGGACTCGGGTGTGTGCTTACATTATACCAGGTGATTGCCGGCAGTCACACAGCAGTTGTGGAGCCCTCCCAGCCCACTCCCAAACCTCCGGTGCAGGCACCCCCAGTCATCCCTGCAGTTGACATTCTCATTCCCGGACCGGTGAGTACTTTGAAATATCTCAAGTGTCCATACACTAATACAACCAACAGAACAACCCATGCTATGCTTGCCACAAGCACAACTGGCCTTGCGCAACTCGGCCGGACAAGAGGACCGGGGCTCCATGTATGTCGTGCGTCTACTGCACAACAAAGAAGATCAAGTGCACCCCCCGCGACTTATGGGATCCCCACCTCCTTGTGATCGTTCTTCCTCTACTACCCGGAAGACGAGGTCCAGAACACCATCCAGGGCTTCCTCCAAGACTCCCTCCAAGGCTCCCCCCGCATCCCAAACTCCCGCCCCCTCCAAAGCTTCCCCTGCCTCCCAGTCCAGGGCCCGAACTCGCAGTCAGTCTCATGGCCGGGCCGGAACTTCTGGTGTCACTGCTGTGACCACTCCAAGACCCAGACACGTGGTCGCAGCAAGACTATCACTGCCGTCAAGGCACCTGCACCTGCACCTGCACCTGCACCCAGCTCGTAAGTCACCCGAGTTTTTCATCACCGTCTGACCTTCATTTTCCCTTGTAGCCCTTCCGTCTTCCAGGTCGGCAGTCCCTGCTGCAGCACTTGGGGTGCCCATGCCAGATCTCCATGCCATGTCCATTGCGATTCGAGATGGCGCAGCTCGAATCGCTCTTCTCGAGGCTCGTGTGGCAGAGCAGGATGGTAAGAGTTGACACCCTGCAACGCCTTCATGAAGGCCTTAGGCGCAAAATCATCGACCAGCACCCCTCATTCCCACTTCCCAACACTCCTGCCCCTGCAACATCCTTGTTGCTTGATCAATCCGGCCCCCGCACCATGTCACCCCAGAAATCCGCACTCCCTCCTCTGATTGATCTCAGTATGGAAAACAATGGCTTCCCACACCCGCAGCCCCGACATTCCCAGATGCCTCTGCCATTGAGGGTCTCCTGTTCGTAACTACAACCAAGTTGTTCATCCAGAGGATCCAGATGCATCCGGTGAAAATTGTGGGACCCAGGTGATCCAAGCAACCTTGTCCCAGAATATGACTCTTCCAGCAACATGGATGTTGAGGTGGAGGTGAAGGTTGAAGAGTCTTCTGTGGAGGTTGACATGGCTACATAATTGCATAGTGATAGATGATATACAAGTTTTCAATGAATGTAACCTCTGCCAGTCCATTGATTGAGTCACTGAGTTCCGAGTCCCAAGACCCGAGACCCAGAATTCGGCACTCGGGACTTGAGACGACAGATTTGAAACTTGAGACTTGAAACTCGAAAGCACTCGAATCTCGGGTCTCGGTACTCGGTATTCGGTACTCGACACAATGCTCGAAACTCATAAAACTGTTTCAAATCACTGAGTACTGACTACCGAGTGCCGAGACCCGAGATTTGGTACTCGGGACTCAGTACTCGACACGATGCTCGAAACTCATAAAACTGTTTCGAATCACTGAGTACTGACTACTGAGTACCGAGTACCGAATCTCGGGTCTCGGTACTCGGTATTCAGTACTCGACACGATGCTCGAAACTTGTAAAAACTGTTTCGAATCACCGAGTACTGACTACCGAGTACCGAGTACTGAATCTCGGGTCTCGGCACTTGGTAGTCAGTACTCGGTGATTCGAAACAGTTTTACAAGTTTCGAGCATCGTGTCGAGTACTGAATACCGAGTACCGAGACCCGAGATTCGGTACTCGGTACTTGGTATTTGGTAGTCAGTACTTTCGAGTTTCGAATTTTGAGTTTTGTTTCCAATCTTTCGTCTCGCGTGCCGAGTGCCGAATTCTGGGTGTCGGTACTCGGTTCTCGGTACTCGGTACTCGGTACTCGGTGTGATTCGAGTTTCGAGACTGTGTGACTCGTGATTTACAAATCGACATTTGAAACTTTGTGATTTCTGAGAACAATGTGTATTATCTTATGTATTTCTGTACTCATTTCACCGACTACCGAGTGCCAAATCTCGGGTCTCGGGTCTCAGTATTTCAAGACACAAAAATGTATATCATCTTAAATTTGAATTTCTTAACTCGAGACTCGAAACTCGTAAAATGTACAATACCTAGGCCTATCTGTCTATATGATACGTATCTGGGCCCACCCGTCTATCTAATAAATAATTCCACCTCACCCTTGGCCCACCCGTCTATCTAATATTACCCGACGTCGGCCCCACCCATCTATGTAGAATTCCCCACGTCGGCCCACCCGTCTATCTAATATGACCCCCACGTCGGCCCACCCGTCTATGTAATAAATAATGCCCCTCACCCTCGGCCCACCCGTCTATCTATTATTACCCCATGTCGGCCAACCCGTCTATGTAATAAATAATTCCCCCTCACCCTCGGCCCCACCCGTCTATCTATTATTACCCCACATCGGCCCACCCGTCTATCTAATAAATAAACTCACCTCACCCTCACCCTCAGCCCACCCGTCTATCTAATATTACCCCACATAGCCACCGTCTATGTAATAATAATTCCCCTCACCCTCGGCCCCACCCGTCTATCTGATATTACCCCACGTTCGGCCCCACCCGTCTATCTAATAAATATTTCACCGCTCCCTCGGCCCATCCGTCTACAAAATAATACTAATACGTCGGCCCACACGTCTATATAATACTATTTGCTATACATCTCTCCTCAGGACTATAATATATGTCAATCCTACTCTACATATTACCCACATGGGCCCAACCCATCTCCATAATAATATTTCTCCCGGCCCATTTTGCTATCGTCGATGATATATATAACATCAGCATAGATGGGCCCACCCGTCTCCATCGGAAATAATATGCCTCCCGGCCCACCTGTCAACATCGGGAATATACATAACATCGGCCCATAATCCGCTGGCCCGTATTACACGGGATATTATGTAGGTCGGGTGACCTGTATAATATGGGATTTGTCACTGAAGGGGCTCGAGTCTATGCGCCACATCTTTGCCATTCTGTTCCCGCACATGCACCGATGGCGTTCACTGGAGGTTATCAGCGACACATTGAAGCTGCTTTGCACTGCACTTCAAGTTCTCAGTGCGTGCACCCCGACTCCAAGCGATTCAGGAGGTCCAAGCCCTGACTTTATTCTCGGTTCACGAGCTCCACGCCTCGAATTCATCAAGCTCAAGTGATCCAATGACTATTACAGAGCCCATCTTAAAGATTTCGCTCCGCCTATGGAGCTCAATAGCATCCCATTTGCTGCTTTGATTGGGAGGCCCGATCAAAATGTCCATGAACAAGACCCAAGATGGCATGTCTGATCAAGATCTCCCTGCGCAAATCCCTGCGTCATGTCACCCCCTCCCGAAACTGTGTCACGTCCATCTCTTCGGTGTTCCGTTGAACTGGACAGGTTTCCTTCACGTTCTTGGTGTCGATCACCAGATTCAGTCATTGGAGCTTTCGCATCACGACGAAGGCGACAGACCAACATTTGATCAATTTTCAGCAATGATCAAAGGGTGTGTCCTCTGCTGCTGCGAAAACTTGTCGTTAGAAATTTTGGGCCGATCCTTACGCGACCATTCCATAATTGCTGTGTCATGTCACTTCCGATGCTTGAAGAGCTCCACTTGGGGTATACCGAGACGGATTTTCGCTGGACGCACTATTCAGTCGCCTTGATGCCCCAAACCTTGTGGCACTTTCCATCGAGGACGTGAATCCCACCGTCCCACAAGAACGTCCTATTTTCGGACTCGGCATAAACACTGAATATCTCCTGAGCTACTGTGCAACTGGCTTCAGCAAGCACCCGTCAGCCGTCACCAGAACTAGCATGCCGTTTCCAAACCTTCGGTGATTGTCGCTCCACAGGGTTCATGCAACCGTGACTGCATTCAGTCTCTTCATGTCTGCTTTCCCTCAACTGCATCATCTGTCGCTACTCTGCACACCAAACGCGCTGGCAGCTCTGTTGCTGGATGCGGACTGCCCTGCCCTCGCGTCCATCCTCGTCTGCCCTGTTACGCAACCAGAGGTTCTGAAGTTGAAGCAACTTAAGAACATAGGCCGTGTATTGGAGGGAGACGCTGAAGAGTTAAGTCCTACCATATCTCCCAAAACAATAGATTCAGGTCCCTACTCTTTTTGGGCTAGGATGTGATCAGGAGTGAGCGGGCAATGATTTATCACGGCGCGCCATGGACTATTGATGCACGACAGCATGTAGTACATCCCGCAGCGTGTATGCTAATACAAATTGTTCTACTTCGACTACTTGATACTCTTTCATCGTGACTGACGGACACAATGGTATGCACCGTTTCACTCATGAGTACTTAATGCGTGCAGCTGCTCAATAGCACAAACCGTTGAGCTACTTGGACACTTTGATTAAGGCACCTTTAAGTTGTCTGCGACCGTTTTTCGACTTCCTACCATTCATCATCATAATCCACGGGCAACGATTGTGAGTACATTGTCATGGCATATGCACCGTCGATTCTTGAATGGATCGAGTTGCAGCTGGTTCAGTTGGCTACATTCGATGTGCTCGGCGGTATGTATGCTGTCATTGTCATCATCCCGATGTCCCGCATGCGTCATGATTTCGTCTCAGTCGATCACATTGTATTCATTTGTTCCAATGTACAACTAGAAATTATAACTCTCTGTTTCCGGTCAGAACCAGTCTGGTGCACAGGAAGTCTTACACATCTCTTGTCCCTCACAAAGGGTCACTATTCAGCTCCACAAGCACTTGTACGTCATCTGCAACAAAACTGCGTATAGCTTGGATAAGATCCATGGCAGTGCTGCTCGAGTGGCCTTGCATGCTAACACACTTTATTTGAGGAAAGGCTCTGATCCAGGTCGCAGATAATGCCTGCAACCACAATGAGCATCGAAACATGTCATTAAATGAATGCTCACCAGTGAATCCTCTCTCAAAGTGGCACCCGACGCGGGAAAGTAACACAATCCCAAGTGTATGACAGGGACCGTACAACAAGTGTCCGGGTGACTCATCATTTTCGACCGAGGATGATTTTGCACGGGCAAGTCAAGTGCGAGATATCCGATACTATCGCAATACTCAATACATCGCAGAATGGCGGTCATGTAATTGGAAGATGCATCATCGGATTGCAATGAAATTGCAAGGGACTGGAGGGAGGGTGGTTTACGGTGGTTGTGGAGGACTGCGAGTACATGAGACAAAGGTCCATCGAGCACAGACATAGAAAGGATGGTAGGAGCGGCGACCCGAGTGGTCCTCCAAGATACATCAGGTCGCGGAATAATAATCAGATCATTCATGTCAGGATGGCGAGCCAGAAATTGAATCAGCGTGGACGGTGCACAATCAGCATCGACCCGTAGTTCGACAAGTGTCGCAGGAGCTTATCCCACTGCGCAGAACTGAGACCCACACGGCCCAATCGAAGCTTCTCCAAAGAGGATGAATGAATGGTCTGCATCGTGAAAGGAAGGAGCTCAGGAGAAAAGAACACCCAAGATGATGCCTCGAAGCATTTCAGGCGGTTCAAACCTGGGTGCACCTTAATTTTGGCGAGCCCAAAGACGGATGGCGAGCACATGTAGTCGGAGAATCCCATGCATGTGAGCTCTTCGCAGCCGGAGGCACAGATATTCTCGAGGAACGCGATTATCTGTGGAAAAACGGGGGAGGCGAGAATGTTGAAACTCCAGAAAAGCGTGATGTATCGTAGGGATTTGCGGGGGATGGATTGCAGGAAATGTGAAAATGCAGAGAGCTGTGCGGGTCGCACATCAACTTCATCCAGCACAGCATCATGCGTGGTGGACGAAAAGTATCTGTCCTTCTCCAAGTCATTAACACATCAAAGTTGGGTGAGTTTACGTGGAGGTTAAACATATCCTGCGGGGAAGTTGGAAAATTCCTGATGGCGAAGAAGAGAGGACCAGCGATCTCTCTCAGCACAGAGGAAACTTGGGTAAGGGAGTGAAGATCTCCTACTCCTAGTGGACTGGCAATGATAATGAGAATTTCCACGGGTAGTGATAAAATGGAAGTCCTGGCATTGGACGGCTCGTGAGATTTCGCGCGTTTGATCATAAAGGGACACAGTTGAGTGTCCGCTTTATGCTTCAGGAAAACGTCAGACTACCCTCGGATGAGTGGAGATCGGTCGCGAAAAAGCATACCACCTCCCTATACAAGCGCTTTGCAGTAGGGCTGAGGTCCATGTTGCAATGAATTAGTTTCATGGGCTACAATTTCGTTAGGATTGATGGGTCAACATTTGAAATAGGAATTTACCATAGCGAGAAGGTGACGCATGCCATCTTCGGGGAATGATTCAAGTATTCGTTGCTTCCGAGGGATCGCCAAGTCAGAGAATTCCATTTTGCGCTTGATTATGATTGGGATGAATCTACGTCAATCAGTTAACATGGTCAAAAGACACACAGCTACCTTGTCCGGTTGCTCGTTGCATCCAGATGGCAGAGTCCACGACATGTGTGCCTTCCTTTCTGGGGCGGGCAGCATCCTCCTGAAAGCGTGCTGGAGGGACATCATCCTGTGAAACAAAAGTTGATATAAGAAGTTGGTTTGTGCATGAAGAGTCTGACCATCAAAAGGAAAATAGCAATTTTGCACCGCCAGCGGAGGCAGGGGAATGCGTTGATGACGTGGAGTCACACGACTGAACCAAGAAATTATTAGGTGACAGCGAACGAAAGGCAACAGACATACATGGTGGACATCTGCTAAGAAATGTTGTTGACCGGAGATATAAGCTATTGAGTTTCCCATCATAGAAATGCTTGAAGATTTGAACTCGACGAACCACAAAGGCATTCACTTTGACTCGCTCAAAGTAATTGCTCACATCCAGGGGGAACAAAAAATTACTTGATCCAATCAGAAGACAAGACTTCTGCACCGATATTGGATATGAACCAGGACATGAGCATTGACGAGGGAAACAAGCTTAAGCCACCGAGTAAATTTTCGGACGCCCTAATCGCCCGTTAGCACAAGCGCTCAGCGGTACATACCACTAAGTCGGAAAAGGAGGCCAAGGCCATCGCTGTCAATAGATGGCTAGTGGTGAAGGCCGCAGGCTCAACAACAGAACGGTACAATGTTTGATCGACGTGGGTGTAATAGACATAACCTAGCGGTCTAATTGCTGGTGACTGTTTTTGTGACCATTTGGTCGCCCGCTCATGTCCAACTTGCGGGGTAGATGAAATAATCCTCATTGTTTGAACTGAACTGAGTTCACCCGCATGATAATGCAAAAGAGGAAAAAAAAATTGTTTGGCCGGGTCGGTGGGGGGTAATTGTATCTGCCGAACCTTCTTTGTGAGAATAAAATTAAGACAATAATGTGTGTGGTTGCGTGATCATGGCGTTCAGTGGTCCAGTATTTGCATTTCAGCTATGTAACTTACCTCCAATGCATCGGCATCTGCATCATCCATGATATTCGTTATGTCTCCTGCCACCACGGGACATTTTGGATCTCCAAATGACACAGAAAAGCGCTCTCTCATTTCCCGATCCTCAAGCACGACTTGGATACGGGGCGACCGCTACTAGTAGTAGTACGTACATGATGAATCATAAAATAGAGGAAAAACAGTCTTGATCTTGATCGTTTTAAACGTACCCAACTGTCGTTTAATGGTGAGTCTCGATGGCGTGCAACAGCTCACAAATTGTGTCACTTTCGACTCCTAAGATGCGCACATATGCACTCGGCCCTGTAGTATTCAAACAATTCAAGTATGTATCAGCCTGAGTATCATGTACAAAACTTACATTGAGTATTCGAGTTGTTCCGAGGAATCGGCTGAAGGCAAAGACTCCGAGTCAGGGTGCTGCTATTGAGGAAACTTAGGTGTTTAGGCCCAGAGCTCGAGTGGGTTACTAGCTAGCTGTGGCGTCGTTGTACCAGAGGAACATGACGGTAAGGGAGCAAGAGAGGTGTTGATGACATGAAGACAGAATTTAGACTTGCAAAGCTTTTGTTACTTCATGCACTACACATGCAAGCAGCAGATGCGGCAAATGTAAATGTTGCGGAATCCATGCAGTTGCGAAATAAGTGCAAGGAGTGCAAAAGTTTGCGCAAAGTGCATGCGTTTGCACGCATTGCACTCACAAGAAAATACTCAAGTAGCTTAGATGGACACCGGGTTTCATTTGGCGTATGTTTTTGGGCAGTGTTACAAAGTATTACAACTTTTGGTTTTCATCCCTATATACTCGACTTGAGCTTGAATTCAAAGTTCAAACACGCAAGTAGGTTTGCATTAATCAACACAAGCAAATACGCCAGGATGGTGCTCGAGGTCCGATTTCTATATAAGGCCATATTTGCTCAAGATTTGAGCACGAGTGTCCGGCTTTCCATATTGCTCTGGGGGCAATGGTCTGTACTGTTGCCTACTGACCGTTCACATCATCCACATCATTCACATCGTCTCTGCTGGCTGCTGGAATCAATAGTTACCACTGGGAACAATTGTTTGTACTGTTGTTCTACTAGTAGTGTTTCCAAAGGATTTGGAGTCTGGGACCAGCATAAATTGTAATTCACGATCACTCACTTCTCAAATTCATGGCCCTCAACAACCTCGAGCGCTTCTCGCACTGATCAATAGTTTGTACTGTTGGTTGAATCCGCTTCCCTTGAAGCTGCGAAGACCATCTGACACACACATCTCGCTCATCGCCCGCCCCTTGCCAACGGCCCCTACCTGCCATGTCCAACAAACAACTCCACATTTTCGTACATGATTCTGGGAAAGTTTTTACCTCTCTCACAGCACGCTCACTTCCCGCAACAATTCCTGATAAGTCCAGCCCCGATGAGGAGGGCGACATGAAGATGTTAACCACCCAATGGGCGTATGAGATGCACCCGTGGTATCCTCTTGTCCCATCCCAACTTGTCTTCGACGGACCTATATTCAGCTGCCTCAATCACTCCTTCTACTCATTGCATACAGAACTTTTATCGAACAAATGCTATAGAATTCGTCCGGAAATTGGTCTGGCATGGGAAAACTTGAAGAAGCAATTGCTTTGGTGTCAGAAGCATTTAGGCCATGGCATAGACGTTCCTTGGGCAAAGATGGCAAGGCCACCCAGCGAATTTGGGTACTCGTGATCGCAAGTTGACGCGAAGATGGCCAAGAAGGTGGCCCTCAGATCACACGACGCGTTTTTAGGTACGGACTCGGTCGTCTGTACTTGTTGTATATTGACTCGTCATACTGTTAGACATAGCGGCTGTCTGCACATACTATATCATGCATCATCAATGTCAGAACTCAGACTGGGCTGCTATCTTAACCACAGATCCGCATCATCCAATACCGTCCGAATGGGTGGCAGAACTCACTCGCACATTTGTCGGAGATCTCACAGACACTGTACCACGCACTGGTGTGATTATCGACAGTGCTCAGGGTCCCAGGAATTGGGAGCATGACATGCACATGTTTGAAGAATACAATGTTCCAATTTGGGTCAACTGGCCCCTCGACTTTAAATCCCCCTTCGACAAGCGACTGGATCAATATCGTCCCTCCCAGGAAGATGTCGGTGCATCATGGGCCGAGTCCCTATGGGGTGTTGAGTTTAGCAATGGATGGGGCACCGAGTCTGCAAAAGGATGGGGTGCTGAGTCTACAAGTGGATGGGGCGCTGGGTCCGCAAATGGATGGGATGCTGGGTCCGCAAATGGATGGGACGCTGGGTCCACAAACGGATGGGGCGCTCAACCTGCCCACGATTCATGGGGCGTTAAGCCCACCAATGACTCAGGCGCTCAGTCCGCCAATGATTCATGGGGCCCCACGTCCAACAATCCATGGAGCTCAACCAAGCAACAGATTCCCCACCAGCCAGAGGTATCCGGCGATCAAACATCCAAACTCGATCTCTCCAGCTTTCCCCTTCCCAACAAAGGCAGTGGCCAGAAGCACGGCGAAGATTGGAAGGCCTTTTTTGCATGCAGGCTAGCGCACAACGAGAAGAAGGAGGAGCGGGAGACACCCTCTGCACGACAGGCACATCAGGGCCATGAACGTTCGGCGGCGAGTCACAGCCTTCCCAGGAAGTCCAGCAAAGCTTGGTGTTTGAATGGCAACCCCAGGACGATTACAACGGCTTCCTGCTCCGCATGCATATCACAAAGGCTCAGATAGAGGACGTCTGGGGAGACTACAACAACACCACCAGGGTGTTTGACTCCTTTTCAAACCAGTGGGACTTGTGTCTGGCCATCGATCCAAACAGCATTCCAGATGGTGACGATCGAGAGGACTACGACGACATCATCCCTCCAATGCTTCTCACTGTTGCTCCCCCGCCCCCACCACCGTCATACTCGAGCTTCTTGAATGACATTTGTAGTTACTTCGGCAGTCATGAAGTCGCCTCCTCTGCACAGTATGATCGCATTGAAACCTTTGTCTCCGTCCTGCGTTACCATCTAGGGTATCGACTCGACGCACCTACATCTGCTCCTCGGCACGGTTCCACCATGTTTGAAGAATGGATTCACAAGACGCAATGGGTCCACGTGTGCAATCTCGTCGGCGATCTAGGCCAAGATTTGACGGTCTCAGAGGAACGGCAAGGCGTCATCAAGTCCTTCCTGGGATATCTAGTGACCTTGCCAGAATTCAAGTTGTCCGATATACAGCCCGACCTTTGGGATTTAGGACCACATCCTTCCTTGCCGGTCTCGAATTCTAACATACAAGTCTCCTGCACTCTGCTTTCTCAGCAGCAATTTTACATCATCGAGCCGCTTCGGACTCAAAGTCTCACCGTCTGGAAGCTTGCGGTCCCTGAGGCCACCACGGCTGTGATGTGCCTTCGGCATGACTGGGGTTCAGATGTCAGGCGCATTGCGTTTTGCCTCATCGAAAGAGGGATGGCGTTCAAGACCCTCCAGAAGATGACCGTGGCACCTCACTTCAGGCGCCCTTTCTCCGAACTTCGCGTGTGTACTTGCCTGTATGCAAGCAACCCCACTTCAAAGCCATCTTTGCAGATTACGTGGTATACGAGCAGCGCCGCCACGAGTTTATGAATCAGCCACACGCGAGGGCTGCGCTGCTTCATGGCAGACTTGTCTGGCGGCTGGCTCTGCACAGTCTCGGCATTGATCACCTACCTTCGGTAGTCGACGGCATCTCACAGGAAGCAGTCCCATTTGGCCTCATGCTGTGTAGCGACGATCAAACTTACTTTGACGATGCATTGCTTGAGGAAGAAGTTGAGTTTATCTGTGGAACGTATTACGTGGATAAAAGTAAGTTTGTTCTGGCCAACGCGACCTCAGCAGTGCTCATGTTTGATTATCCAGACGATGGAAGTGTAGAGAAAGTCTCTTGGTGGCCCAGACCGCAGGCCTGGGCTGCGTCCGGCTTGAACATCGGTTTTTGGTCTGCTCGATGCGAAAAGTGGTTTCAAACACGCCTCGAACATATTCGCCAAGGTGTTTCACATTTCCACGATTCAGCTCCCAACGACGCTAATGGGCCGTTGTCCGCCACTCAATGGAAGCGGTTGCTCAAATTCAATAACGGCACCCCGAAGATGATGAAGAACATGGATGTGGCATGTTATGAATTCCTGTTGAACAAGGCGCCTGGTAAGAGCACCTCGTTAACCAACCTCCTTCATGCTCCCGCTAACGTCTTGCATTAGTTTGGACGGACTCAGATGTGTAGCTGTATCTGTTATCTCATGTTTGTTTTTTTGGCTACGTACATGTACATAGTGTTTTCTACATGTCCCAAAATATATACCAAAGTGTCATCGAAGTGCGCATTGAGTGGGCGACCACATGATCCAGGTGACAAACAAATAATCACAAATGATCACATTTAGGTCATTGGCATACTAGTGGACCCGTGACATTCAAGTTGCATTTGTGCGGTTCAACGGTTTGTACCATTGAGCTGCACGCCCTGCACTGCCTCCTTTTACAACTTAGCTGTATGCACAGCTGAGCTGCACTTACTACTTATACTGACTCGGATATTACCTCTTCAACGCTCCTTCTCGCTCTTGCTTGACATTCAAGTTGCATTTGTGCAGTTCAACGGTTCTTACCATTGAGCTGCACGCCCTGCACCGCCTCTTTTTACAACTTAGCTGTATGTACAGCTGAGCTGCACTTACTACTTAGACCGACTCGGATATTACCTCTTCAAGGCTCCTTCTCACTCTTGCTCAGTTACCACTCACCCTCAAATAGACCCTCACGCACTCACGCTCTTAACCTCCCTCATTCCAAAGGAGGGGCTTTTTGCATATTAGTTCGCATTCGACTTGGTGGAGATGTTCGGGAATTTCTGCAGGGGGTGAAAGCCGATCAACCCGAGGGCAAGGAGGACTTGTGCATTGTTCTCTGACTCTTCGGGGAATTGTATTCGTGGAGCAACGGCAGGCGGCGACTTGTCTGGCAAAGATCCTTTCGTGCATACCGGAGCTTTGAGGCAGTATTCGATGTGCGAAGCCTGCTGGGAATGGTGGTGGACATGGGCACCATGGTAGGCATGCAGCTACCGTCAGTGCGAAGCGGATGGGTCTCGCATATATTAACAGGATGTTGTGAAGTCCTTCCGTGATGGTACTTTGAACTTGCGTGCATTGATTTCTCCATGTCCGTCCGTCAACATGCTAATCTAAGGGCATGCATCACAGTTGTCGCATCGTCAGTCGCTGACTCAGAGGAAGGTCTTGACTTTCCCGTAAGCATCTTCATTTTGTTGTCATGCGCCAGCTGATCTTCTCTCAGGCTTTTGACCTCATTGTTCGTTTCAATCTGTTGACCTTGAATACCTCTCGACTCTTTAGGATGCTCCACTCCCTCAACCGTACACCAGACATCCCCCATGCGCTCCGCCACAGACTCCTTCGCACCTCGTGATTTATTCTCTATCCCCTTACTCTATCCTTGCCCGTTGGCGTTTGGCGCTAGAGGCAGGAGGTTAATCGTAGAGAATGTGAACAAGTCTTACTGATGTTACCTTTCAATGCAGCAGTGTACACTATGTCTATATCATACTACTCTACATCACGGCTTACAGCCACTCCTCTAATCGACTGAAAATTTTCGCGCCAGATAATGAGTTCAGGCGGTGAGCAGGCTATGATTGAGTGATGAGCAGGCGACGGGTGGGCGATGATTGGGCAATTGATTTTGTCAACAAACATAACTTGAGGTTTTGTCATCACATTTCGTCACCAGCGTAAACTTCAAATTTACAGGGGTGTCTAATTGTCAGGCAACACTTGATATATTGGGAAGCATATTGTCCTCGTCCTGAATTTCAAGTTTTGTCCGAAGTTTTACGTGATAATTAAACTTCAAATTTGACCATGCGCAGAAAACCAGATTATATTTCTTGTTGTTATTGACGTATAATTGGCGAGAATATGGTTGTGGATGCTTGATATTTTGGATGTCGTCCAAAACACTAACAAAATTTGAAGTTATGTCCCCATCTTTATGTCAGTTTAAGTTTTAAATATTTTCTTTGCATTTCGTACTACATAAAAACGTCTCCTAAATATTGATAACCCCGATGTGTTAGCTCGTTCTCTCGCTAGGTACTACCAATATAGTAAATATTGTCTCGTAACACTACTGAGCTCGTTCTCTCGCTAGTAAATACGGACCATCCTTCCCCAGCGCCTCCCTCAAAGCTTTATATTTTGCCTCCGGCGGCGCGTAGTTGATAAGTGTTCCCCCGCAGCACAAGGGTCGTCACAAGCGAGGGCAATGCACCATAAATATTAGGTCAGCTTCAATAATGACTAGGTCAAAGGTCCATCCGCGAGGAATAAGCTATATGCTCGAGCAGAAAGGCAATTCGACATGTTGGCTATGCGCTCTGAGGCAGTAGTCTTTCGAAACGTAGTGTTTCTCACCATTATAAACAGTTTGGCCGTATCATGAAATATGTGTACCCACACCGTGTCGGCAAGTACGATAGCCATCGGAATGTCGTACAGATGAGTTTCATGACCGTCACTGGTCCGTCAGCTAAGTTATCTCATCGTGGCGATAAATAGCATTCAGAGTGAAGCGCACCTCAGGGGCCAATAAACAACATGGATTACTACCATGATGATGAATATCAAATGAAGACCCAAGGAGCGTCTTCAATGAGTAGAACGCGGGCTATGTATTCAGTCGTTAGGAACCCATCACAAAAGAAAAACGCGCCTCCGCAACCCCCCTAACAGAACAGACAGCTACGTACTGTTAATTTCCTGGAACGTCCACTCTGTTGGGAACGACGCGCATCAAAGAGAGACAGGCATTCTGTGTGAGAGCTCTTCTGCGCTGTCACTGAGCCTGATTTAGTCCATGTATGTAGGTGAGAGGTCAAACGTAGAAAGATGGCGAAATACACCGAGAAGGTGTGAAGATGCTGCTAGTAAGCACTGCAAAAATACAATTATCAGTGCAAATAATTGATCTTGTCATTGTGGTCCTTTGGACCTTGGAGAGCACGGGCATCAAGAGTCAAGATGCACCCTCTTTATACTGGCATATAGCGAGTCGTAAGGTGAGGGATCACGAGACCTAAGATCTGAAAGTTTGTTTGAAAGTTGTAATACTCGCTTGATGTCTTGGTAAGGCCGATGATCAAGTGCATGCATTCTGTGATTGATAACACAACATTCCTGAACACTGCAATGACATGTCAATAATTAAATGTAGGCTTACACAGTCTTGGCTGTAGTGAAAGTTCATCAATGTTAGTAGATAATGCGATGACGATATCGCACGCTTATGTGGTGGAGAATTGTAATAAGAATGGACATGGGAATATTATTAGCGAAGAAGAATTGAAACCAGTTGAGCTAGAGGTTGGCTGAGAAACTGAGATGAGGAAGGGACAAAGCGCTGTAAGCAAGGCTGTAACAGCTTTGAAAGATATGTTTTAAATAAAACCCGTCTCGACAGACTGAAACTCCTCCATTAGCTTAAGCGGATTTGAGACGCGAGAAGAGAGAGATTTGGTTGCCTCTTGTGGACAGACAGATCTTGGAAATCGACGAGATGAAGAGATGATATTTGCAGTAAGCTATGTGCATTTGGGGCAAGTTACATGGTAACGTGTTGGAGAAACTGCTCAACACGAGAAATAATGATATTGATGCGGCAATCTAGGATAGATGGGCCGGGCCCGGCCGGTGACTAGCGTTCAGGGTAGAAACTGCACTATCCCCATTGGATGAAAGGGAATATATCCTGAAAGCTTGGGAGACAACTTACAAGAGTCGGACACACGTACACAGTGCTGTCGAGAAGGCGGTTGTGACTCGTAGGGAGCATTCTTGCTGGAACGGTGATGGAGTGTAGAGGCGAACTACCTTGGGCGTCTATGTAACCGAAGTAGGTTAGCTTGGCGAAGCAGCATAAAAACGCACAACACACGCATCTATGCAGCTTAGAGAAAGACACCCACAATCCTTCGACCGTGCTCAACAACATCAACCTCCAGTAAAATGCTCAATCGCCTACAACAACTCCTTGGACTAGTTGGGAGAGCTCCGGGAACAAGCACAGACACGGTTGCAGTCACGGTGTTCCCCGATAAGCGACGAATAGTTACGGCCTCGAACGACAACTCGCTTTGTCTTCGGGACTTGAAGACAGGTGTTGTGTTGAAAAAGATGGAGGGGCATAACAATCGGGTGTCTGCGTTGGCGGTATCACGAGATGGTCAAATCATAGCAAGCGGTGATGAAAATGGAGAAATCATTGCCTGGCACGGTGAAACTGGTGAAACTCTCACCCAACCCATTAAAGCCAACTCTGCTCGAATCAAGTCGCTGGATTTTTGTCCAGATGGTACGGTGCTGGCCATTGGTGGACCCGACTTAAATGTGGAGCTTTGGTGCACCAAAACGTGGCAGGTGCAAGGAGAACCAATCCTGTGTGGGAATGTGATCCGCTGCGTTCGATATTCGCCTTCTGGTGGCCTTCTTGCCATTGCAACCGACGGCAATATCCAAATTTATAATCCAGGCACAAGGAAAGAAGTCGCATCTTTTGAGGCTCACACTGGAATCAACTTGTCACTCGCGTGGACGCCCGATGGCGCACGCCTTCTCTCAGGAGGCAATGATGAAGATCCTACCATACGGGAGTGGGATCCATTGACCTGGCAGCAGGTCGGTCATCCCTGGAAAGGCCATACTGGCTATATCAATGCCATCGCCATTCATCCCGCTGGCACCCTCATCGCTTCTGCATCTCAAGGCAACGATGTTCATCTCTGGCGGCTCTCAGATCGACGAACCATCGCCATCTTTCAGCACTCATCCATTCCAATATGTATCACGTTCTCTGTGAACGGCAAAACACATCCTCAGCGGAGGTGTTGATAACAGGCCTGAGATCTCAGAGTGGGCAGTACCCAGGGACGCTAATTCAAAGGCGAGCCGCGAGTTTCCATTCTTGACTCATGTACCATAATTCGAGCATCCTTCATGCAGATGCTCGCTATCACGACAGCTCGTGATGCATGTGTAAACGGAGACCTGTCTACCGCTGAAGAGTCACTCACCCAAGAGATCGACACCGACGCCGAGGACTATACTTCATATGCCCATCGCTCGTTCGTTATGGCCCGAAAGCACGCCTTGGACCACGCCCTTGAGGATGCAATCAAGGTGCGTTATACCGACTCATCATGGCCCCCTTACAAAAAGGCTAACTTTCATCTGTGACATAGTCCATCAGTATTCGGCCCTCATTGACAGGCTACATCTCGAAAGGCATTGCCCTCTGCGGAAAAGGCCTTGTCCGGGAGGCAAGGACATCATTCGATGTCGCATCCATGTTCACGAATCAAGATTCAGCCACCAATCATTTTCTTCTCTTGATCAAGGTGCGTCAAATTTGTCTCACTTGCTCTCTGCTTCATTCCGTATTTCAGGCCATCGCCCTCTTCAACGCAGATCAGCATGAGGAAGCAATGTTACTCGTCAGCGAACTCGCTGCCCGCTTGTCCGAATGCCGATGCTCTCGGCTGTCGTGTCGTGGAAGTAAGTATTATGCCGCCACACTCGGTCATCATAACTGATCGTTGTCGCTCGCACATTAGACATATCTACGCGTTCAACTCGGAATCAATGCCTTCGATGGCGCGCGCCATGACGAAGCCGCTGATCACTTCACAGCCGCTGTCAACGATAGTGCTCTCTCATCTAAATTCATCCATGAAATATACGAGGAATTGACCGTGGTGCGTCAAGATGAGGCATATATAACGCCCTTCATAACTGAGTTCCTCGTCCAGCTCTTCGGCTGGGATCTCGAGTCCTTGTTGCTCACTACACACCAGAAACGGTGCCAGGCTTTCCTTTCGGCAGGTAAATTCGATGAAGCCCTCGAAGCACACAAATACATGATGGATACCATCAACGAAACTGCGAAGGCCAGCTGCCTCGATTGGTCCAACGGCAAGTTCTCGGTGACGTCACCCGAGGTTACCGTACTCACCCCATTTCACTTAGAATTCAAGGAGAAATGTAGCGCGCTCGCTGCGCACAATGACCGTATTCTTGGTGTATGTACCTCCTTCCTCAACCCTTTCGCTAGTGACCTGTACGCAGGCGGAGATTCCGGGGCAAGAGCGAGATGGCTATGATGCAGGACCCAATTTTCTTCCACGGAATGCATCACGTACGTGCAACAGCGTACCCTTCTTCTTTTCTCTTTGACATCGTTCATTACAGTATTCTCAAATTTCCCGCCCACGACCTCAACAGCGCCCTAGGCGCCTCGAGAGACTCAGGTTTGCTATGACAAGAACCCCTCGTTCAGCTCCTCCACCTGTACCACCTACCGTTGCACCACCGGTCACCGCCGCTGCCACCTTCAAAACTCAACTACGATACCTATTCACTCGGCCACCCCATCATGCAATGCCGCCCGTCGTCGAAGTTCCTTTTGCAAAGGGTAAAGAGGTGCGTCTGGTCGATTTTTATCACCACGTCTCGGGTGTCTGATGCGTGATCTACAGCGTAATGCTGCTGCAGATGCTCCTGGCAAAGACCCGGACATCGTAGATTACGAATATCAAGATCTCGATACTACTCAACCGGACCCTAGTACACAACAGCAACAGCAAGCAGTAGCAGTACATATAGACTCTGGCGAACACGGAGGCAGAAATTCGTGTATCTGCTGCTAGCGGGTTTTGTGGGTGTCCCTCCGATATTTCAATTCTAGTATTACTCGTATTGTAACATGCCATATAGCAATCCCACATCTAGGACTTCATTCAGCCGCTGTATCAGGCGATATCAGACTAGTCCAATTTGCTCTCAATCATGGCCAACCCGTAAACTCTGTTTTAGACGGCGTTCTACCTTTACACGCTGCTTGTGCAGGTGATAATGATCTCGTAGTCAATCTTCTCATCAAAAACAGAGCAGACGTCAATGCATCAAGGTAAGTCTTCATAACCCATAATTCTGATCGTATATGAATACTTTCCAGACTTCCCCGCAGGTCCTCTGACTGCAGTTGTGACTCTGCCGCTCCTATAGTTGGTACTTCTGGTGCAACCCCACTTCACTTCGCTGCTGCAAATGATCATACAAGCGTCGTTCGCACCCTTCTTATCCATGGCACCCATTCTGATCGTCCAGATAAGCACGGCATCACCCCTGAGATCATTGCCCGTCAGAATGACTGGATTGAGTACGCTGATATCCTCGGATGCGAGATTCTTGCTCGCGCTCGCGGTGATAATACACCTGATAGCGACAGTCATTCCTCTAGTTGAGCACGTTGAATCTTCCCAAAAAAGAAGCTTCATTTCAAACACACCATCGACCGCGCTCGCACCGCACTCAAGTCCGCAAGCGCCGCTCTTGATATCGATCAAAACCACCCTTTGTGTACTCCGGCTCCCCTGAATAAGATATCTTTCAACCTCAAAAGCATTGTGCGATCAGCAGTGGTTCTGTCCTCGTCAGAACCAATGACGCCTGTTGCATGCCCTGGATCCTGCGCCCTGTTCGTTTTTATCACCAGGGCTATGCATATTCAGCTTACTTCATGGAGGCTGACCAAATAAAGGTGTTTGTGATATGGTCAGACAGTGTGCTTGGGGGCGATCTTTAGACGCGTAGTGGCCCGAATATTCGTTCTTTACTTGTGACTTTTACAAGCACGACTTATTCCTGTATGCCTCATTCGACGTAGTGCAGCATGTTTGTAACTGAAAATGAAAGCAACACGACATAGAATCACACATGAAAATTTGGCGTCGTCCTACATACGAGAACATAGAATTCTGATCCCGTCCTCATGCATCAAGTGTCATCCACAGTGGTGATAGTACAGCGTGTTGAGAACAAATCGAGAATCATTTGCGGCAAGTTAATTTACGGGGTCGATCACACAGCACGCAGTACCTGGCACACGGTAATTGGGGCATTTGGTAAAAGAAGTGGAATACAATTTACTAGTCCAGTTACAGGGAGTATTACGACATGGTACATAGCGTTCCCAAACACCCGGGGGTGACAGTCGTTCAATAATTGAACGCATAGCTTTGGCTGTGGTGAGAGCTCACCGAGGTTAGGAACATCGACGACCGTGTTGTACTACTAGTGCATGATTCCAATGGGAGGGGATTGGCGAATGAGTTAACTAAAACCAGTTTGGCCGAAAGTTGAGGACTGATATGAGCAATGAGCGGAAGACCGTAAACAAGGCTGTAAACACCTTTAGGAAAGATGTTCGCAGAAGTGTTGAATAGAACGCGCATGTGAAGGAGTGGGTGCTAGACACGAGAAAGAATTACGTTCATATGGCCATCCGGGATAAATAGTGTTCGAGCGCCTGCACTATCACGATCTAATGTGGGGGGATATATTCTAGAAGCTATGGAGATGCGCCAGGAAAGTACACTGTCGAGGAAGGCGGTTATGACTTGTAGGGAGCATGCTTACTGGAATGGTGATGGCGAACTACCCCCGTATCTTGGGCGTCTATAGGTAGGTGAGCGTGGTGAAGCAGCATAAAAGCGCACAATGCACGCACTTCTGTAACTTAGAAAGACGCCCACAATTCCTCGACCGTGCTCAATACCATCAAGCTCTTGTAAGATGTCACAGCTCATTCCAAGCACCACACCCCTTCGAGTTTTTGAAGATCATGAGCAGGGCGTAACTGCAGTCGTAGTTTTCCCCGATAGGCGACGAATGGTTACAACCTCGAACGACAAGACGCTTCGTCTTTGGGACTTGGAGACAGGTGTTGTGTTGAAGAAGATGGAGGGGCATCACAATTGGGTGCGGGCACTGGCGAAATCACGAGATGGTCAAATGATAGCAAGCGGTGATGAAAAAGGAGAGCTCATCGCCTGGCACGGTGAAACTGGAGAATCTCTGACCCAATGCCCACTCCAATGAAATCACCTCGCTGGATTTTTTCCCGGACGGTATGGTGCTGGTCACTGGTTCATGGGACAAAACGGTGAAGTTTTGGTGTACCAAAACGTGGCAGACACAAGGAGAACCAATCAAGTGTGGTACTGTCGACTGCGTTCGATATTCGCCTTCTGGTGAACTTCTGGCCGTGGCAACACTCGACAATATCGAAATTTATAATCCAGGCACAAGGGAACGCGTCGCATCTTTCATTGGTCACACATCACCCACCTTCTCACTCGCGTGGACGCCCGATGGCACACGCCTTCTTTCAGCAGGCCATCCATACGATTCTACTATACGAGAGTGGGATTCATTGACCTAGCAGCAAGTCGGCCATCCCTACGAAGGCCATACTGGCAGTATCAAAGCCATTGCCATCCATCCCGCTGGTACCCTCGCCGCTTCCGTGTCTGATGACAACCATGTCCGTCTCTGGCGGCTCTCAGATCGACGAAACATCGCCATCTTCCAGCACTCATCCAACCAGACATGTATCACATTCTCTGTGGACGGCAAGCACATCCTCAGCGGAGGTGAAGATCATAAGATCTCAGAGTGGGAAATACCCAGCAACGCTAATTCGAAGGCAAGTTTCCATTCTTGACTCCCATAACATAATTCGAGCATCCGTCGTGCAGATCTTGGCTATCGCGACAGCCCGCGGTGCATTTGTAACCGGAGACCTGTCTACCGCTGAAGGGTTACTCACGCAAGAGATCCACACAGACGCTAACGACTATACTTCATATGCGCATCGCTCATTTTTCATGGCCCGAAAACACGCCTGGAACCATGCCCTTGAGGATGCAATCAAGGTGGGTTATGCTGACCTATCCTGGACCTGGCCTCCTTACAAAATGCCTAATTTTCATCCATGACACAGTCCATCAGCATTCAGCCCTGATTGACAGGCTACATTTCCAAAGGCGTCGCCCTCTGCGGAAAAGACCACGTCCGGGAGGCAAGAACAGCATTTGACGTCGCATCCATGTTCACGAATCAAGATTCGAACACCAACCATTTTCTTCTCTTGATCAAGGTAGATTAATTTCTTCTCGCATGCTCTCTGCTTCATTCCGTATTTCAGGCCATCGCACTCTTCAACGCAGATCAACACGAAGAAGCAGTGCTGCTCATTAAAGAACTTGATGCCGCTTGTCCGAATACCGATCCTTTCGCGTGTCGCGTCGCGGAAGTAAGTATCATACGGCCACGCTCGGTTATTAAACCTGATCTTTGTCGTTGCACATTAGGTATATCTACGTGTTCAGCTCGGAACCAAAGCCTTGGGTGATGCGCGATACGACGAAGCCGTTGACCACTTCACTACTGCTGTCAACTCCAGCGCTTTCTCATCGAAATTCATTCATGAAACATATGAGGACTTGAGCGTGGTGTGTCAACATGATACATACATAATGCTTTTCATAATTTAGTGCTTTGTCCAGCTCTTCGGCTGGGATCTCCAGTCTTTATTGCTAACTACACACCAAAAACGGTGCCAAGCTTTCCTTTCGGCAGGTAAACATGATGAAGCCCTCGAAGCACACAAATACATGATGGATACAATTGACGAAACTGCGAAGGCCAGCTGCCTTGATTGGTCCAATGGCAAGTCTCCAGTCATGTCACCACGTGGCTATCATACCCACCCGCATGTCACTCAGAGTTCAAGGAGCAATGTAGTGCACTCGCTGAGCACGATGACCGTATTCTTGGTGTATGCACTCCCTTCCTCAACTCTTTCGCTACTTACCATAACTGTTATGCAGGCGGAAATCCCCGGGCAAGAGCAAGATGGCTACGATGCAGAACCCAATTTCTTGCGGTATCCTTCTTCTTTTCTCTCTCACGTCGTCCATTACAGCATTCTCAAATTTCCCAACCAAGACCTCAACAGCGCCCTGGGCATCTCAAAAGAGTCAGGCTCGCTATGACGAGAACCCCTCGCTCAGCTCCTCCACCTGCCTCACCCACCACCCCACCACCAGTCGTCGCTGCTACCACCTTCAAACCTCACCTACGACACCTATTCACTCGGACATCCCATCATGCAGCATCACCCATAGTCGATGTTCCGTTCGCGAAGGCTAAAGAGGTGTGTTGGGTTGATCTTTATCACTGTATCGTTGGTGTCTGATGCGTAGATCCACAGCGTAATGCTGCTGCGGGTGTTCCTGGTAATGACCCGGACATCGTACCTGATGAATATCTCGATACTACTCAACTGGACTCCGATACAAAACAAAAACAGCAACCAGAGGCAGTCCAGGTAGACGCTGGGGAGCATGGAGACGCTCGGTCGTGTTGCTGCCGTTAGAGGAGCTGGTGCATGTCCTTGGTATTTCACTTCTATTGTTAATCTTGTTATGATGTCTACATTGACCTGAAGCAGTATTTTATCGATAGGTGATGGGTACATCCTTTCGATTATGTGGAGTGTTCCTCCTCTATAACTAATTATGAACCTCGCATCTTCCATCTGTAAAGCTTAACTTGCACTTAGGTTATTGAGCGCCAGATATCGTACTCATGTACAACCACAGGGCCATTCTACATTCAAAGATGTCTCGTCGACTGCACAGGACATGCAGCGGTTCGTTCAAGTCTTCAGCACCATCATTTTACACAGTACTCCACATCTTTATGTATCAGCACTGCCATCCTCGCCCACCAATTCTGCGCCATCTAGAACATTTTCTGAACGGTTTCTGAATACTCTTCGTGTGACATCTGGATGTGATATGAACTGCCCGCCGGCTGCTCAGACCGTGCCCTCATGAGGCACGCTGATTTAGTGAACTCAGTTTTGTTCTCACCGGATGACACTCGCATTGTGAAGTGTTTCTTTCGACAACAGTGACTGTCTAGGTGCGGAATACACCGGCAGTGACGAGGCAGCCAGCTGGTGGGCCCTTGCGGGGGGCACACTGGCAGTTGGGTTAATTTAGTCTCGTTCTCACCGGATGGCACTCGCATCATGACCGGTTCACCCGATAATACTGACCGGCTGTGGGATGCAGTGATGGGACAGTCTTTCGGTCAGCCCTTGCGGGGGCATACTGATTATATTATCTCCGCCTCATTCTTGCCGGATGGCACTCGCATCGTGACTAGTTCTTCCAAATTGCCATCAAGCTGCGGGATGCAGCGACGGGGCAGCCAGTTCTATAGTGAGGCTTGCGGGAACACACTAGTCGGGTTCCGTTGGGTGACGCTCCCATCGTGGCTGGCCCGGGATCATGGGATAACACTGTTCGGCTGCAGGATGCAGGTCACGAAAGAAAAATGCACTCACCCACCTCCTCGGCCTCCCCCTAACAAGACAGACAGCCATGTACTGTTATCTTCCTAGAACGTCAACTCTGTTGGGGACGACGCGCATCAAAGAGAGACAAGCATTCTGGGTGAGAGCTCTCCTGCGCTGTTACGTGGGCGAGAGATCAAATGGCGAAATGTGCTGAGAAGATGTGAAGGTGCTGCTAGTAAGCACTGCGAAAATAATACAATTATCAGTTAAAATAATTGATCTTGTCATTGCAGTCCTTTCGACCTCGGAGAGCACGGGGATCAAGAATCAAGCAGCACCATAAACATGATTTGCAGACTTTTTATACTGGTTTACAGCGAATTGTAAGGTGAGGGATCGCGAAACCTAAGAGCTGAAAGGTTTTTTGAAAGTTGCTTGTGTAGTTTCGCACACAGCTGTAAGGAGAGTTTGTGATCATCATACAAAACAAACATACGGCCCATCTTATCTAACCGAGTTTGATTGCACGTGATCACTAATAAACAGTTTGAAATACAGTCGCGTCTCGTTCTCATCCACGAGTACTAAGCTTGGTCATGTTTCCACTCAAGAAGAGTCAATACCTTCTTCTCTCCTCTAACTATCTTCCCGTTGTCGAACAGCCCCCTGTTCACGAACCCGTTCTTCTCAAAAACTCGGTTGCTGCCAATATTCCCAGCAAAAGTGTGCGCTACAACATGGCGAACTCCCATTCTAGGGATCCCCCACGCTGTCATCAAGAGACCGATTGCTGCAGTCATGATGCCCCTTCCGTGGTGGCTCACAGCAATCCAATCTATCGCAAATGAAAATATGATAAACTCATCAGCATTGAGACAACAACCGTCATAGGCCCATAGAACCAACGTACCTCCAATAGCATACTGAATCGTCGGGTCCCCTGCTTGCTTCTTCGCATTATCTTCCCGCAGTCGCTTCCGTTCTACTTCGGCTAGTACCTCCTCGAATGGACTTCTTCTGAAATTGACATCTCCTATAAGAACATCCGTCCCATCTTCTTTGACTTCCCTAAGATTCCGCACAGGGTTCGCACCCACGAATTGAAGCGGGCCATTAGGAAAATCCTCCGCGCTCTTCCGTAGATATTCCAAAGTAGCATCTGATTCTTCTTTTATAAGCTGGATCCAAGAGTCCGCGTCTTCCGGTAGATAGGGCGTTGGAGGTCCTTCTATCCATCCGTAAATAGCGGGGTCGTTCATATGCTGCATGTGCATAGACTGATCTCCCTGTCGAGGTGGGGTGATAATGATGTTCTGGTGTGGTGCTGCAAGCCGGAGGAATGGTTCCCCAGTTTTAGGATTGATCTCGAGGGGATAGAGTTGGTATGTCATCTTTGGAGTGGGTGCTGAAGATCTATTGAAGTGGCGAAAAGCACTTACAAACTATTAGTGAAGGGAGTCACAATGTGTATGTTTGAGTCATGTACTAGAAGGCGGTGTAAGCCTGCAAGGTTGATAATAAACTACCCTAGATGGTTAGGCGCCCGTACGACTATGCAGACCAATTAGAACGAGTCATTCCTTTAGTAATACTCAGATCAGTGAACTGAGTTGAGGTTTGCACGAGGAAATATTTCTTTTCCTCATGAGAAATCGTTTACCTTGGGCGGGTTGTGGTGTCTACAGCAGTCCGTCCTAAATCTGATATGCACTGCGGTAGGAAGATATGGTGTACGATCATACATCTGATAGATAAAACACAAGGCATTTAGCAGTGAAGCTCATGTCGTCTTTTCCCCGCCAGACGTGCAGTAGCCTATGATATAGAACTAAATTTCTTTCACGAAACGCATCAAGTGCGTGCAACAGTGCATCCTTCTTCTTCTTTTCTCTCTCACATCGTGCATTCCAGCATTCTCAAACTTCCAGGCCACGACCTCAACAGCGCCATGGGCGTTTGAGAAGATTCAGGCTCGCTATGATAAGAATCCCTCGTTCAGTTCACTCACCAGCACCTGTACCAGTACCAGCACCAGTGGAAGGCATCGTGAAAAACATATAGGAGATTCAAGACATGTGGGGTGAGAGATGGAAATAGTAGCCGGAAACACCGATGTCACAGACGAAAAATCACTTTAACCTGGCCCTAGTCAGGTCCATACAATCGATACCCAAGTCTTCAGCAATGATCATCGCAGCCCGCTCTCCGATGAGAAGTGCCGTCGAATACGTGTTCTGTGTATATTGTTAGACCGCACATCAACAACCTCCTGTTCAGCACCCACCGTGCCAACGTTCAATGGCGAAATGGACATATCTGCGACCTTCAGGTTTGACACGCCGTATACATTTAGCCGAGCATCGACGACTCCTTGATCTGCCTCCGATTCCATGGCACAAGTCCCAAGCTACAAATATAAAGATCAGATATAAAATCATGAAAGGTTCAGCTGCACACACTGAGTGCCATCCCGTTTGCACTGATGTTCGATTCAGTATCTTACCGTGACTATGGAGATGGTAAGTCAGGACTTACCGACGTCGCGATGGAATTGATTGATCGCCTCGTCATCTTCGGCAGTGTAGATAATGTCAGGCGCATTCAAGTCCACTGGCCCGGAAGCTTCTCTGCAGGCTGCAGCGCTTCCCTCTGGGAAATCAGGATGACCAGCAGCGACTTCACCTCGGTAGGAAGCCATGCGTCGAAAGATTTCAGCGTGTCTTTTTGTACCCAAAGTCAAGAGGAGCGATATCGGATGGACTGTGTGGAGTCACACAAAATGCCTTAAAATGAAATGCATCCACTCACTCATCTAAGAACCCTGCAGTAAAGTCCAATCCTTCTTTTCCGTTCTCTGTCAATTTGATATGAACGCTTCCGACAGACACGGGGTAAAGCTATTGAAGAGATTTAGAAAAAAACCATGGGGTAGACGGAGAGCAGTACTGTATAATAACTAGCGGTCATGTAGTTGCGAGGAGGAAGGATAAGAGGCCTCGAGAGCGGTGAAACATATCTGGCTGTCATGATCATTGCCATGTCATCAAAGCCAAGCAATATGCACGCACCCTGCAAGAGCAGCAAATATTGCAACAGCCTTGTCTGGGCGGTCCTGGAAGAACTCCTTCCAGCGTGGTTGAAAGACTGGATCCATGGCTTTCAGTTCCTCGTCATCAGGACGCCATTTGACTTTCGAATCGAGACCACTGAGATACCAATCAGCACGATACCAGTAGCGATGACTTGCACCAACTTTTGTGCAATCAATGACTTGCCGTTGCTATTCCATTGTGCAAGGCTTTCTGCATTTGGGTAGTCGTAAATTGCTGGAATCATGGCGAGAACATGCTTACCCTGTAGAATACTCTCCCCACGCCAGAGAGCGTCCATGGTAACAACCTCGTCGGCAGCTAAGTATGGAACAAAGGCGTTATTGTGATCTGACTGTCCTTAGCCAAGCTCATAGAATAACTAGATAAAGAAGTTCACCTTGATAATTTTCTCCGACGCCAGGCAAATCCACCAATTGTTCGATGCCGCACCGCTTGAGAACCGCCTCAGCACCGATCCCAGACCTCTCCAGAATGGTCGGAGAACCAAATGTCCCAGCAGAGACAATGACAAGCTTTGATGCTCTCACAATACTCAACGACTGATCTGCGTCTGGGCAAGACACTGGGTCGCTGGCGAACTCAACACCTACAGCACGCTTGTCCCTTTCATTTCAAAAAGCCGTCAACTGTTTGCTGCAGTTGCGATCCCAGGGGGCCACTTACTCGAAGATGATACGCTTTACGTACTTTCCGTCCCAGACTTGTAGGTTTTGGTTGTGAGCTTGGTTGTAGATATAGTGGTGAGCCGCGTCCGAACGCTTTCCGGTTGTCCCGTCAATGTACCTTTTATACATGAGCCAAAAATTCGCAATAGCCTATGTGTGCAGGGACTCACTTCTGCCATGGCTGAGACAAATCTAGTTGGTGATCGTAGTTAGGGAAGGAAAATCATAGCTTACACTGTACGTATTGCATGTTTCCAAATCATTGGTGTCTTCGGCATACTGCCTCTTGTGATAGGTCGTGCCGACCTGGATGAACTCGTCGCAGATACCTAGTTTACACCCACCAGAGGACACCTTGATAGGTCCATCATAGCCGTGAGTTGGAAGATCGGGCTGGACCTCATATGTCTCCAGCTGTAAATTGAATGTATAAGCAATCTGAACAAATATCCTGAAAACGCATTCGAGACCTTCTTCATGAGGGGAATCAAATTCTCAGATTCCCAACCATTGACTCCCCAATCGTCATAGTCCGAAGCAGGTGCACGAGTGTATAACATTACTATCATTATCAGAGCCCTATTCGTCGTTGCGAGTATGCTACGCACAATTCACACATGAGCATCCGCCAACGCAACGACCGCAGGGGAACGATCGGTGTACGGCCGTTGAGACGAGGAGATGGATTTCCGATGTTGAATGTGACTGTGGTGCTCGTCGGTGCTTGGTTTAAGAGAAATTGGCAGGGTTGCACATGAATAGGTTTATCGAGGGCGTGTTGACCCGCTTCCAGAATCAAGATCCTCAACGAGGGATCATATGCAGCTAAGCACCTGCGACAACACAAGCTGTAGTACCACCTATACAGAATGATGGGTGAAGAGGAAAAAACCACTGCATGATGATATTTGCTCACCTCCAGCAAAAACGATATCGAATTCTGACAGGATTGGATGAGACATTAATATGAAGGGTTACTTTCAGGCTGCCGCTCATTGCTTCATCTTATGGCCTGCACCCCGAGTGAGGCACGCCCATTGGGACTCAGCGGCCCAAGACCGTCGGATGAACGGCAATAATGACTCCTTCCATTAGGCCATTGGAACATGAATGTAGGAAGAACACGAGGTGCATGTAATACTGCATGATTGGATGTGCAGCGTACAGAAGTTCCGACGCCGGTGCTTCGACCTATTGTTGAGCTCGCAAATAGCGCAGACCGTCTTATGCCCACCGCATTCGCGCGGTGACCGCATTATCCAATCGCACGGCACCAGCCTGAGGTTCAACCCCTTGAACTCCAGGCATTCCTTTCGGCAGGTAAACCTAATGAGGCCCTCGAAGCACACAAATACATGATGGATAACATCGACAAATCTGCGAAGGCTACGTGCCCAACAGGGAGTTAGTAGGCGCTGCATTTCTCCATATAGCTCCCCAACGTTATGGGTTTCGGTCTTGTGACCGAAGCGAGTTTGAATTAAGAGGGCCAACCAATGTATACAAGTAAGAACCACGACCAGAATGTCCCTCGGAGCACAGAGAAACGGATTCACAACCAAGTTCCATGTCCAGAAGGAAGAGCTCAAGTATAATGCAGCTCAAAGCGATAACACGATAGAGAGAGAATCCGTGATCAGGGTAGCCCTGCGGACGCAATGCAAGGGTGTCGCGGAATAAACAGATTGCAGCCCAGATTTTGAATATCCTCTTGCGAGTGTAACATGTCAGGTGGACGCACGCGAGACACTGGTGCAGAATCTGTTGTAAATGCTCCACAGCATCATTCAGATGAGAGACACTCTCGCCGGCCATGTATTCGGTAAAATGCGCCCGGCCTGAATCTGTGCACTGACTAATGTCGTGTTCGACGATAGACTACAGCGAGCGTTTGTCAGGATAAGCCGAAACAGTAAGTAGCACCACTTACATTAAACAATGCGCCCTCTTGATTTCGGCAGGCGCGTGTAACAGCAACTGTTGGTGCAAGGGAAGGTTGGACACCACGAACGGGAGGGTAGGACGGAAATACAACAAGTTAGGAATAGATGTACATGAAGGAGAAGCGGGTCACTCACCGAAGGCTCGCAGTTCATTCCATGATGAGGTGTTGGAGTAACTGCTCGACATGAGAAACAATGATATTCATGCGGCAATCTAGTAGATAGCTTTCAGCCAAATTCAAGGGCCGGGAAGTAGCAACTGGAATATCGCCATGAGGGGATATATCCTGGAAGCTGTGGAGTTGAACGCGTGTGCATAGTCTAGTCGAGGAAGGTGGGGCTTGTAGGGAGCATCCTTGTTAGAATGGTGATGAAGTGTGGCGAACTACTAGTACCTCGTGTCTTGGGCGTCTATGTAGGTTAGTGTGATGAAGCAACGTAAAAGCGCACCATGCACGCACCTCTGCAGCTTGGAGAAAGACACCCACAATCCCTCGACCGCGCTCAACACCATCAATCCCCAGTGAGCTCGCCGATGTTAGTAGAGTCTGATGACCGTGCAGGATTGCAACAAGAATGGACATGGGAAGGTAATTGGCAAACGAGACTGACTGAAACCAAACAGGCCAGGAGTTGGCTGAGAAACTGAGATGAGCGAGGAGCAAAACGCTGCAAGCAAGGGTGACGCCTTTGAAAGTCATGATTTGGATCAAACGCGTATTGAAAGGCAGAAAACTCCTCCAGTAAGAGCGGGTTTGCGATGAGAGAGAAATTTGGTTGCATCTGATACACAGGCAGATCTCGGGAATCGACGAGATGAGATCATATTTGCAGTGCACATAGACAAGTTACATGTCGAAGTGTTGGAGACATGTTCAACACGAGGAACAATGCTATTCATGTGGCAATCTATGTATGATGGGTAGCTTTCAGTCAAATTTGAGGGCCAGGAAGTAACTGCATTATCGCCATTGAATGGGAAGGTATATATTCTGGAAGCTGTGGAGTCAGACGCATGTACACAGTGCTGCCGAGCAAGGTGATTATGACTCGTGGTTGCTGGAACAGTGATGGATTGTGGATGGGAACTGTCTCATGTCTTGGGCGTCCATGGAAACGAGGTAGCTTAGCGTGGTGAAGCAGCATAAAAACGTACAATACACGCACCTCTGCAGCTTATATGTTGAGAAAGACACCCAGAATCCCTCGACCGTGCTCGACACCATCAACCTTCAGTAAGATGCTACCGCTCATTCCAAGCACCACATTCCTTCGAGTTTTTGAGGGGGACGCAAGCAGAGTCGCAGTGTTCCCTGATAAGCGACGAATAGTTACTTCGAGCAAGACACTTCATCTCTGGGACTTGAAGACAGGTGTTGTGTTGAAGAAGATGGATGGGCACAAAGCGGTGGCAACGGAGAACTCATCGCTTGGAGCGGAGAAACTGGAGAATCCCTCATCCAACCAATCAATGCCCACTCCAGTTGTATCAACTCGATGGATTTTTCTCCAGATGGTGCGGTGCTGGCCACTACTGCAACTGATGATCACCGTGAGGGTGAAGTTTTGGTGTACCAAAACGTGGCAGATGCAAGGAGAACCAATCGAACGTCTAACCAATTGTGTTCGATATTCGCCTTCTGGTGAACTTCTCGCCATCGCAGTTTTGGGACGGATCGAAATTTATAATCCAGGCACGAGGGAACTCGTCGCATCTTTCGGGGATTTCGGATCACTCGCGTGGACGCCGTGAAATGAATACCAAGATGATGCGATGGAGTAACCTACCTTCAAGGCCTCAAGTCTGATGAACTGGCCCTCCAACTGAGTATTATTCCCGCCCACTATCAAAGAAAGAACTCCTCAAGAGAGTGTCCCCGGTAGCGGCAGTTGCAGGCCCACTACCAGACCTAAGGAACACGAGCTGAGGATGGGAGGAACGTTCAAGTTGGAATACCTCCTTCGAGGGATCCCTTTCGACGTGGTAAAGACAATGGGCAGATGGTCGAGTGACTCGGACGCTGTTTGAGTCGCTGTACCTCAGTGATCACGCCTTGATTCTCGCCCCCTACATACAAGCGTCCCCAGCCCTCGAACCTTTCACGCGCTACACACTGCCACCAGTGCGATAAAAGTCGAGTGAGTTTCGCTCCTAATCTTTAGACATCAAGCTTCGCTATACGCGTCGCTGCACTCCTAGTTTTCGGGATCACGGCTCATCTTGGCGCTTAGGTTCGAACCTTTGTTTCAGGCCGGAAAGCCGTGCGGGCTTTCGCCCAAAGACTCAAAAGTCTACTTTCTTCCCTTTCGGCAACGTCTTCTATATCCAGCCAGTCACTCTGTACAGAAGCTTCTCCATGTGGTATCACTCGTTGTTTCTTAACCCAATCACAGCTCCTCTTCGAAGGTCACTGAGTAGTGCAGCACATAGATCTTCAGCAATGATCATCGCAGCCCGCTCTCCGATGAGAAGTGCCGTTGAATACGTGTTCTGTGGATATCGTTAGACCGTACATCGACAATCCCCTGTTCAGTACCCACCGTGCCAACATTCAATGGCGAAATGGACATATCTGCGACCTTCAGGTTCGACACGCCGTATACATTCAGCCGAGCGTCGACGACTCCTTGATCTGCCTCCGATTTCATGGCACAAGTCCCAAGCTACAAATATAAATATCAGATATGAAATCATGAAGGATTCAACTGCACACACTGAGTGCCATGCCGTTTGCACTGATGTTCGATTCAGTATCTTACCGTGATTATGGAGGTGGCAAGCCAGGACTTACCAATGTCGCGATGGAAATGATTGATCGCCTCGTCATCTTCGGCAGTGTAGACAATGTCAGGCGCATTCAAGTCCACTGGCCCGGAAGCTTCTCGGCAGGCTGCAGCGCTTCCCTCTGGGAAATTAGGATGGCCAGCAGTGACTTCACCTCGGTAGGAAGCCATGCGTCGAAATATTTCGCGCGTCTTTTTGTACCCGAAATCAAGAGGAATAATATCGGATGGACTGTGTAGAATATGGTAACCACACAAAGTGCCCTAAAATGAAATGCCACTCACTGGTCTAGGAAGCCTGTAGTAAAGTCCATTCCTTCTTTGTCGTCCTCTGTCAGATTGATATGAACGCTTCCGACAGACACGGGGTAAAGCTATTGAAGAGATTCAGAAAAAAAGTCACGGAGTAGACGGAGAGCAGTACTGTATAATAACCGGCGGTCATATAGTTGCGAGGGAGGATACTCGAGAGCGGTGAAACATATCTGGCTTTCATGAGGATTGCCATATCATCAAGGCCAGGCAATATGCACGCACCCTACAAGAGGAGCAAATATTGCAACAGCTTTGTCTGGGCGGTCCTGGAAGAACTCCTTCCAGCGTGGTTGAAAAACTGGATTCATGGTTTTCAATTCCTCGTCATCAGGACGCCACTTGATTTTTGAATCAAAGCCACTGAGACACCAATCAGCACAATACAGTAGTGATGACTTGCACCAACTTTTGTGCAATCAATGACTTGCCGCTGCTATTCCATTGTGCAAGGCTTTCTGCATTTGGGTAGTTGTAAATTGCTGGAATCATGGCGAGAACATACTTACCCTGTACGATACTCTCCCCACGCCAGAGAGCGTCCATGGTAACAACCTCGTCGGAAGCTAAGTATGGAACAAAAGCGACATTGTGATGAGGGCAGTGAATATGCAGAATGAAGGGCCGGCACAGATCAAGCATGACGCAAGAGACAGGTATGAATGAGAGATAGATGGGAAGATGTAGATGTAAATGCATGCGAAGTAGATCATTCACAAAAAGGATCATCACCGTGATCGAAGTTCCAGTCACTCCAGGATATTTCAGGTGACATATGTGATAACCTACAAATCGAAAATCAGTTCTCAAATCAGGTCTGCAAGCCTCCGTGGATTGCCTTGCAGGGTCACAGTATCAGCCACGCTACAGTTCTCTCGGATCACAGTACTCGGATAGCTGATTTCCGGAGTCGAATCGAGTTTGATGGACGCATAATTAAATGCCTGCGGGTATGCGCGCTCGGAAGGGACTTGGTAAGATTCTTTCCACTGACGGCGACTGTAGATAGAGCGTGTAGGTCGTGAAATGAATACCAAGATGATGCGATGGAGTAACCTACCTCCAAGGCTTCAAGTCTGATGAACTGGCCCTCCAACTGAGTATTATTGGCGTGAGGAAGTAAACGATGAGGGTCATAAAGGATCTATAATGATCTGAGTCTTTAGGATGAGCGGACGGCACGATCATCTGCATTGTCCTGCCATCAAGTATTACTATTACATTATATCCGAGTCCTTCAGGGACGCGGATTCGAGTGACTGACAGCATCATTCCTGCGTCGTCCGCTATTGATGAGATTGAAACCATTGCTGTTGTCTTTTTGGACTTTGGGAGCACGGGCATCAAGATTTAAGATGCATCACCGTGACAGACATGATTTGTGGAACTGCTCTACGGGAGTCGTAAGGTTCGGTATTGTGGGCAATGTAGCAAACAATGCAGAAGCGCTAGAAGCGACTTTGGCAATCGAAAGTGTATGCTCTTGCAAATCCACCTTCGAGAGATAAAATAGCCTTGGAATTTGCATTTGGGACAAATGCGAACTTGTTGTTGGCACCTGGGTTGGTATGTGACGTGAGTGTTGGTTGTGGTCAGAGTCAGACAGTTTTTTTTTATTTTTATTTTTATTTTTAATCATTGTTTATTGTCCGCTGGGGCGAAGCCCTATGTTAGACAAAACATGCTGTATCCACAATATATAATCTTATGATGACTTGGAGCGCGGCGTCCACCCGCGTGCGTCTCACGTGCGCTTACTTGACCAATTTCTACTACCACTACCATTCAGAAACCTACTAACGTTACCATCATTAGCTTCGCTCCATCACTTACAACATTGCCGAGTCCTCGTGACTCACGAAATTTACTTCATTTGGTTGCGAGCACATCATCAATTCCTTATAAGCTGACCCTTTCATCTGCGTCATCTTGCTGTTTGAACACCGCAGCTCCAAAACATGTCGACGTCATTTACGCACAACGAAAAATATAAATTCTGAGTCGTTCTTCATCAGTTTGCCCACGCATCATTTGTGTTTTACGACTTGATCTATTATGCCCGGTTCATCCATGAATCCGTCTTGATGATATTTCACACAGTCGTATACTACAGTGCTGACACTGTAAAAGAAGATGATCAGCTCATAGCAGATCACCCTGAAGCGACACCTGATTTTCTCGCAATTCTCTCACAAAATGGAATTCCAAAGCACGAACTTTATCTCAAGCAGGGCTGTATTTGCTCACTTAGGCGCAATATGTCTGTTCAGAAGGAACTGGTGAAGAATGCACGCCTCATCATACAACAATTGCACCGCCGTTATGTCAAGGTTCGAGTCATCAACAACAGGACAGGTCAACTTGGAGATACTCAATACATCCCCCGCATCCACTTCGAATTCACACCCCCACGCGTAAGTTAGACTGTTCATCGTCTACAATTTCCCCTCCGTCTTGCATATGCAACGACTTTCAATGGTTGCCAAGGTCTAACCCTTGACAAGACCGTTCTCAACCTTCGCTGCCAAGTCTTCGCACACGGTCAACTGTACACAGCCCTTTCACGGATCCGTCAACGAGACGATTCACGCATCCTATTTTCAGAAGACAAACCAAATGACGATTTCAATACGTCCAACGTCGTGTATAAAGAATTGTTATTAGATTTGAACTAGATCCATCTAACGAGCCGCGCAGCGGCAAGCACTTGTATTATATATACTGTATGTGCGTTATTTCTTGTTTCGGTTGGTGGGTCCCGTTCAATGGTCCCGGCCGGAGCGGGGACGGTAGCACCAACTGAAGGTGATAGGATTAATGGTTACAAAGATTTTGTCGTCTTCTGTCTTCTTCGTCTATGTTCTTTGCTTGTTCTTTTCTTCTGGCAGTTTGACGTCGCTGAACACTGTCTCGAATCTTCTTGTGGTCGCGATGTACTTGAACAGGGCTTTCAAGCAGTCAGGTTCGTTGAGGATGTGTTTCATGTGGTGCGCTTTCGTGCCTAGTTCTGCGCGGAGGATGTTGCGTTGTCTCGTATAGGCTGGGCATGAGAGTAGGAAGTGGTGTACTGATTCATTGCTTTCCTCGCATTGAGAACACATTGACGTTGCTGACTTTGCTATTCGATGTAGGTGCTTGTTGAGTGGTGCGTGGCCCGATCTTAATTGGAACAAGAGGGAGCTTTGTTGGAGTCAGACAGTAGTGCGCGCTATAACTTGAAATTTTACTTTGCCTCCGGCCAACCTCCGACAAATTTGTAGTGTGCACATTCCACACGTCTTTGACATTATATCAGGCACGCTGCGAGTCCAGGGAGATTCGAGACAAGTGGAGTGAGATACGGACATAGTAGCCGGAAACACTGATGTTACAGGCGAAAAATCAACTAAACCTGGCCCTAGTCAGGTCCATACTATTGATACCCAAGTCTTCAGCAATGATCATCGCAGCCCGCTCTCCGATGAGAAGTGCCGTCGAATACGTGTTCTGTGGATATGATTAGACCGCACATCAACAATCCCCTGTTCAGTACCCACCGTGCCAACGTTCAATGGCGAAATGGACATATCTGCAACCTTCAGGTTTGACACGCCGTATACATTTAGCCGAGCGTCGACGAACTCCTTGATCTGCCTCCAATTTCATGGCACAAGTCCCAAGCTACAAATATAAAGATCAGATGTGAAATCATGAAAGGTTCAGCTGCACACACTGAGTGCGATACCGGTTGTGCTGATGTTCGATTCAGTGTTTTACCGTGACAATGGAGATGGCAAGTCAGGACTTACTGGTGTCACGGTGGAATTGATTGATCGCTTCGTCATCTTCGGCAGTGTAGACAATGTCAGGCGCACTCAAGTCCACTGGCCCAGACGCTTCTCTGCAGGCTGCAGCGCTTCCCTCTGGGAAATTAGGATGGCCAGCAGTGACTTCACCTCGGTAGGAAGCCATGCGTCGAAAGATTTCGCGTGTCCTTTTGTACCCGAAGTCAAGAGGAACAATATCGGATGGACTGTGCGGAATACCGTAGTCACACAAAGTGCCCTAAAATGAAAATGTGTCCACTCACTGGTCTAGGAAGCCTGTAGTGAAGTCCATTCCTTCTTTGTCGTCCTCTGGGACGTTGATATGAACGCTTCCGACAGACACGGGGTAAAGCTATCGAAGAGATTCAGAAAAAAGCCATGGGATAGACAGACAGCAGTACTGTATAATAGAAGGCGGTCATGTGGTTGCGAGGAGGAAGAAGGGGCCCCGAGGCCGGTAGACCATATCTGGCTGTCATGAGCATTGTCATATAATCAAAGCCAAGCAATATGCATGCACCCTGCAAAAATTGCAAAAATTGCAACAGCCTTGTCTGGGCGGTCCTGGAAGAACTCCTTCCAGCGTGGTTGAAAAACTGGATCCATGGCTTTCAATTCCTCGTCATCAGGACGCCACTTGATTTTTGAGTCAAGGCCACTGAGACACCAATCAGCGCGATACTAGCAGTGACTAGTAATTGCACCAACTTTTGTGCAATCAATGACTTGCCGCCACTGTTCCATTGTGCAAGGCTTTCTACATTCGGGTAGTTGTAAATTGCTCGAATCACGGCGTGAACATGCTTACCCTGTACGATACTCTCCCCACGCCAGAGAGCGTCCATGGTAACAACCTCGTCGGAAGCTAAGTATGGAACAAAAGCGACATTGTGATCTGACCGTCCTAAGCCAAGCTCATAGAATAAATGAATAAAAAAGTGCACCTCGATAATTTTCTCCGACGCCAGGCAAATTCACCAATTGCTTGATATTGCACCGCTTAAGAACTGCCTCGGCACCGATCCCAGACCTCTCCAAAATGGTCGGAGAACCAAATGCCCCAGCAGAGACAATGACAAGCTTTGATGCTCTCACAATACTCGACGACTGATCTGCGTCTGGGCAAGACACTGGGTCGCTGGTGAACTCGACACCTACAGCACGCTTGTCCCTTTCATTTCAAAAAGCCGTCAACCATTTGCTGCAGTTGTGATCCCAGGGGGCCACTTACTCGAAGATGATGCGCTTTACGCGCTTTCCGTCCCAGACTTGTAAATTTGGGTTGTGGGTTTGGTTGTAGACATAGTGGTGAGCCGCGTCCGAACGCTTTCCGGTTGTCCCGTCAATGTACCTTTTATACATGAGCCAAAAATTCGCAATAGCCTACGTGTGCAGGAACTCACTTCCGCCATGGCTGAGACAAATCTAGTTAGTGGTCGCAGTTAGGGAAGGAACATCATAGCTCACACTGTATGTATTGCATGTTTCCAAATCATTGGTGTCGTCGGCATACTGCCTCTTGTGATAGGTCGTGCCAACCTGGATGAACTCGTCGCAGATATCTAGTTTACACCCACCAGAGGACACCTTGATAGGTCCATCATAGCCGTGAGTTGGAAGATCGGGCTGGACCTCATATGTCTCCAGCTATAAATTAAATGTATAAGCAATTTGAACAAATATCCTGAAACGCATTCAAGACCTTCTTCATGAGGGGAATCAAATTCTCGGATTCCCAACCATTGGCTCCCCAATCGTCATAGTCTGAAGCAGGTGCACGAGTGTATCCCATAACTGTCTCATTATCAGAGTCCTATTCATTATTGCAAGTAAGCTACGCACAATTCACGCATGAGCCTCCACCAACGCAACGACCGCAGGGAACGATCGGTGCACGGCCGTTGAGACGAGGAGATGGATTTCCGATGTTGAATGTGACCGTAGTGCTCGTCGGCACCAGGTTGAAGGGAAATTGGTAGGGTTGCACATGGATAGGTTTATTGAGGGTGTGTTGACCCGCTTCCAGAATCAAGATCCTCAATGAGGGATCACATGCAGCTAAGCGACCTGCGACAACACAGGCTGTAGTACCACCTATACAGAATGATGGGTGAAGAGGGAAAACCACAACAAGATGTTTGCTCACCCCCAGCAAAAACGATATCAAATTCCGACAGGATTGGATGAGACATTAATGTGAAGGGTTACTTTGAGGCCGCCGCTTATTGCTTCATCTTATGGCCTTCACCCAAGCGAAACGCCAAACATTACGCCCACTAGAAACTTGCCACATCTCGCAAATCGCACAATCAAGACCGCGACGAACGGCAATACTGACTGCTTTCACTAGGCCACGTCGAGTAATTGGGACCCGAATGTGAGAAGAACACGGGGTGCATATGATACTGCGTCATTGAATACCGGTGGCGTACAGAACGGCGCGGTGACTCTCCATATTGTGGAGCTCGCAAACGGCTTACGCCCACCGTATTTGCTACCGCAGTTATCGCATCATCCAATCGCACAGCATCAGGTTTAACCACAATTGAACTAGTGTGCCATCCAGACGTGGTATAAATGGCTGTGACATCTGCCACAACCCCCTATTTCGCGTGGTCCATGGTGACATCTACATACTCAGATCGTGAGTGGAGAACTGGTGGGGATCGTCGCTGCTCACGCTGGGTCTCCTGTAATGTCCTACTGGAGACGACCTCGGTGATACCTGCTTGATGACCCGGCAAAATATTTCGAACTAACCAGAACTCACCATTAGTACACCATCATGGCTCTCGTTCGTGCCATCATTATGTCTGCAAATAGACCCAGGGCCAGTGAAATATGTTAAAGCGCTGGAACACAGTATCGCAAAAGCAGTTCCGGTTGCCATAGGACTACTCCCAAAGCCTAACGCAGAAAGGACTGTCCATTTGAAAAAAAAGGAAAGAGCTTAGGTCCTATGATGCTTGCGGAAAAATAGTGTCATTCAGAGTAGATTTAAAACATGTCCTGAAGAGTCAGGACTCAGGATGCGCCATGACAGTTCAAGAAACTCGCTTGAAATTCTCAAATTTAAACTCCGTTCAAACAAGTCTGACGCTCAGAAAATGTTACAAGTCTTGTGTAGGGTTAAGGTTACCTGCCCTTGGTCAAAATTTCAACTTAAGTGTAGATATTTGCATAGTCTACATGTACAAAAGACTGCTAATAAATGTAAAAAATACGCAAGGTGGATCAACTCACAAAACAACTTGAAGGGGATGAGGTACTGGTGTGAGAGCGGCTTGCAGCATGATGGGGTGATGTCACGAGTTCCAAATACAAACCATTATTCTTTCCTAAATACTCGTAAGACACGCGTTAAGCGCCCGTTACAAGCGCCTGTTGTTAGCGCTCAACCAGCGTCTGTACCTATAACCTTCACAAACCCTAACCCGAACTTCTCCATTCCATTAGCGCCCACTACTTCTATCTCCGACATCTCTGAATTCGACTTCCTTACTCAAGCAATCAAGTCACGTGACTCTAGAACCTTCGAGAACCCTTGCACAGCCATCACACGTTCCATGACATCATAGTGTAGTTATATTTAGAACATCGTACGATTCCCTTTCCTATTTAATGATTGGCTAGTTAGTTCAGATTCAGATTCAGTCTCCGCTTCAATATATGTATATAGGTAGCTCATTGTAGTCAGTAGTTCTCCAGTTCAAACCTCTTTTGTATTAGCTCATTGCTAGCAATCCTAAGACGTCCCTGCTCATTATCTTTTCTTTGTTCGATAACCTTTGTTTGAGTCCTAGTCTCTGCCCCTGCGTTAATTCGTTAAAAGGGTTGTGACATTAGGTTTGAACTATAGGGGACTCCGACTCCACGCATTACCGCTTGCATACCTTTTCTCTTTGATCTGAGCATCTTGCGATTATCCGCGATCCTCAATCAAACAGAACCGTTACACGTTTTACTTTGCCTGGCTTAACAGCTGCGACCCTTGATTTTATCACTCTCCCCTTTGCTCGCTTGAGTGCATTCATACCTATCTGTTTCGTAGTTAGTAGTCCTATACCAGGCCCTGCCTTACATTGCAGCCGCCAGTATACGGAGGTGTTCACGACATTAGGCGTGTCACTACAACTTTGAGTGCTGGCCCAAGACCCTGCCTGCTCAACGTTACTATAATTTCCTTTTTACCTATCACCTTTCTTCGTACGATACGTAGGCTACTCTACCCAAGTATTTAGAGGAATTTCCTAGTCCAGACTCGGTCGCTTGTAAGCTTCGGCTGGAAGAGCACCTTGGCGTTCTAGTTTTCCCACTTGGCGAGTATAGTTGTTACGTACACATCTCTTTTAGTCAGTATCTAGGGAAGAGTCAGTTGGGTTTTACCAGGACCCTTTGACCCTGAAGTACGAGGTAGATCCGATCAGATATCGGGGACCGCTTCAGTTTTCCAGATTACGTATCCTTTTCCATCTTCCCTTTTCATCACCTTTCCCTTCCGGAAGAGCCGTTACGACTAGCTCTTCACAGACATCAGTAAATCGGGTTCCAGAAAACAACTGGTACTATGTCTGAACCAACCGCACCAAGAATGCCGAGTAGCAGCGAAGAGTTTGTACAATATGTACAAGAGCAGATCGCCGCAAACAATGCACTGTGGCAAAATCAAGTCACGGCCTTGCAAAACAAGAATGACGAGCTACAAACCAAAAACGAAGATCTAGCTCTACGGATTCAGATGCAACAAGCCGAGATCGACAAACTCACCGCTTCCCCATCCCTCGGATCATCAGCCGCTTCCACCACAGCCTCGATCAAGATGGCTAAACCCACAGAATTCACAGGTGATAAAGATTCCATTGATGCTAAGATGTGGGCAACCCAAATAGCGCTCTATATGACGCAATGGCCCAGCATCACGGAAAGACAAAGAATTTCGATCATGCTTTCGTTCATGAAAGGATCTGCTGCTAAATGGGCGCAGTCCTACATTGAAGAACATGCGACTGGAACTCTCACCATGAAGAAGTTAGATGAAGACTTCACCGCCATGTGGGCACAAGAAGACCTTGAAGGCAAGGCAGTTCGGGAATTGGATTCCTTAAGACAAGGATCCTCTACCGTCCCAGAGTATACAGCTACTTTCAAACAAAAAGCTGCACACACCAGATTCTCTGACTACGATCTACGCCAGAAATATAGGGCAGGATTGCAAGATCGCGTCAAATTACAACTCGCTCACATCGCCTACAAAGACAAGGACAACATGCAGAAATTGATAGAGCATGCGATCCAAATAGGACGAAACTTCGAGGAGTTAGATGCGGAGAAGAAGAAGACTTCCTTCTGGACCCCTAACAGGGCCGCGAGGAACTTCGAACCAAGGGCTGGTCCCAGAGACAGTAACACCATGGACGTCGACGCCAACAAGCAGAGAGGAGCTCCCAAACCTCAAGGAAAGACTGGTTCTTTCAACTGCTACCGTTGTGGCGAAGAAGGCCATATGGCAAGAAACTGCAAGGGCGCTCCAAAAGCGCAAGTGAAGGCTACTGAAGTGCCAAAGGAAGACTCGATGCCCCAATGGTTTAAAGACTATGTTAAAGCCAAAGGAGATAAGGGTTTTTAGAGAGGTCTGAGTTAGAGTCTGCGGACTTGGACCCGAACAATCGTTTCTCCATCTTATCTACGTTCTCGGATGTAACAGAAGTATATTTGCGATCGAAATCAGAGCATTTTTACATTCCGATTACCTTGAAAGGAAAGAATCGACAAGCAGACGTGAAAGCACTTGTGGACTGTGGTGCATCAACATTATTTATCAACGAGAAGTTTGTGAAGAAGAATGATGTAATATGCCGTAAATTATTAAGGCCTATTCCGGTAAAGAACATAGATGGTTCTTTAAATGCCGCTGGATCAATGACTCATTTCGCCGAACTAAGTCTAAAGATCGGAAATCATGTAGAAGACAAAGCAGCCTTCATGATTACAGACTTAGGAAACGATGATGTTATTATCGGTATTGACTGGTTAAGATATCATAATCCAGAAATAGACTGGAATGCAGGACAGTTTTCGTTATCTAGATGCCCGCTTAAATGTATTACGAAAAAGGAGCAAAGACAAAAAAATAGAGAAAACAGAAAAGTACAAAAACAGACAGATGTAATTCCAGATCTGATTCCCACTGAAGAGGATGACGATGAAGACATGGAAATGAAGAAAGCGACCTGTGAAGAGGTAGAAGATGAAGATAGTCCTGAAAGATGGATTAGATACAAAGCCTCGGTTGCCACAGAGCAGAAAGTAGCAGAAGAAGCTACGAAGAAGAAGAAGTCTGTTGAAGAGATGGTTCCAGACTGGCTTCACGATTACCTGGGAGTGTTCTCAGAAGAAGAGTCCAAACGATTCCCTGAAAGAAAGAAATGGGATCATGCTGTGGATCTTAAGGATGACAATGATCTTCCTCCGAATGCGAAACCTTATCCCTTGTCACCGAAAGAGATGGACACTTTGAAAGATTGGTTAAAAGCCGAGACTGCACTAGGACGTATTAGAGATTCACAATCTCCAGTTGCAGCACCTTTCTTCTTTGTGGCCAAAAAGGATGGCAAACTGAGACCTGTTATGGACTATAGAAGGCTTAATGAGAAGACGGTTAAAAATGTGTATCCGCTACCGAGATCTCAAGACCTGATTGATGCCCTTACTGGTGCTACGATGTACTCCAAGATGGATGTACGATGGGGGTATAACAATATTCGGATGAAAGAAGGAGATGAATGGAAGGCAGCCTTTCAAAACGCCTTTTGGTCACCACGAACCAACCGTAATGTATTTTGGGTTGACGAACTCTCCAGCAACTTTCCAGACCATGATGAATGAGATATTCAGAGATTTAATAGACGGCAAAACAGTGGTCGTTTATATCGATGACATCTTGGTCTTTACGAATGGAAGTAGAGAGCAACACCAGAAAGTCGTGCGAGAAGTACTCAAACGATTAAAAGAGAACGACCTGTTCTTGAAGCCTGAGAAATGTAGCTTCGAGCAGTCTAAAGTCGAGTTCCTTGGGTTGATTGTGGAGAAGGGCAGTGTGTCCATGGACCCCGTCAAGGTAGAAGGAGTATTGAAATGGCCTGTTCCCAAATGCGTAAAAGAGATACAAGCATTCATGGGCTTTGCCAACTTC